ACAAAAATATCAGTATTAATACCCCAAGTGCTAAGGTATTAGTCCAATCCGACAATATATTCTTCCGTGAGTTCAGGACAAGTAATGTGTGCAAGATTATTCTTTCTTAAATGCACACTGAACAGCTGTAGGTTCTTTTGAAATATTTTGTTGCTTGCCTTGTAAGCTCAGGTTAAGCACATTCAAGAGGGCTGTCATGTCTATTAGGAATGCTAGGGAGAAAAGAAAGTATCTTGCAGCTGAGTTTGGTACCTCTCTATATTGCTCAGTTGTTCATTCTGAAGAAATGAAAGAATATCCTTGGAAAAATCAAAGATATTTTTGGTTCTAGAAAGAAAACTGTCACCTGAGGACCACATTAAGAACATTGTGACAGGAGCTCATGCTACACTTACCAATTTCAGAACTGGTTTTAAATACAAAGATGGCAAAATACTAGAAGATTGTTCATGACCTTTGTGAGACCAAAGTTGGAATATGCAGCAGTTGTATGGTGCCCATATCTTAAGCAAATCAACAAATTGGTAAAGGTGTAAAGACATGCAACTAAATGGCTTCGGGAACTGAAAGACAAGAACTACGAGTTGAGTTAAAGGCATTAAAGATGCCAAAGCTAGAAACTAGAAGAAAAATGGGCGACAAAATCACTACATACAAAACAGTATATTTGGGAATTGACAAAATTGATAACAACAGAATTCCCGAGATCTGGAACTACAAGAACAACAGGTTATAGATTTAAGCTAAACAAAGCTGCCAAAAAATATTTGAAAATTCACTTTTGCAAACAGAGTGGTAGACAGTTGGAGGTGGTGGTGGAGGCCAAAACCATCAGTAGTTTCAAAGCGTTATATAACAAGGAGTGCTGGGAAGCCGGGACACAAAAAGCATAGATCTCATCCTGTAATTACACTTAGGTAATTACATTATCAATATTATGCTACAACTGGAATATTACACAGGAGAATCAGCTACAAATACATACTCTAATACAGTGTAATGCAAAATATTTGACTATCTAATTAAAAAATCACCAATGATCAAGGTTTAAAGCAAAACAAAATCTGGGCCATACTTTTATTAATATGGTTTGTCTCAAAATGACAATCAATGACATGATACGTTTGGGATGATCAAGGCATATTTTACCTTCGGATTTTATTTTTTTAATAAAGTAAAATTATAGAGGATGAAAATACAATTACCTGGGCACAGACCAGTTAACATCATCATTTTTTATAATATCTATCTCTGTTAGGAACAACAGCGAAATGTAATCTCATACCAAAAGAAAATCAGACTTGCTATAAAAAAAAAAAACGTGTAAATATTAACAACTCCCTCCAGAAACTTGTGTATGGAATGCATAACTATTTCTGGTCCATCACAGGCCATTTCTCTTTTGTGTTCAGTTCTGGGACTTTCATGTTTCACAACAGATGAGAAGATTTGGGTAGGATGCTTGTTGCATTCAAGGAAAACAAATCTGGTAGACTTTTGTACGGAGTAAAATAAATATATATGATCTCATAAAAACTGTCCCTAACATAAATTGATTTTTTAATAAGAATCGATTTGATTACTAAATATTCATCTTCTGTACCGAAATTTTTTTTTGCTTGAAAGTTCTTTCTATCAGTTTCCAGAATGTTAGCTGATCTAACAATATGAGTGTTATACAATGTATTGCAGAGGTTATTTAAACTATTTAATTTTTAATAGGTACTATTATTTTTCTATTCCCTAATCCTACTCTTTACTGATTCAACAGACTAGCCTTCCCTGGAAAGCTATTCTTACTTTGACTGCACTTCATATGGGCAAGATTATGCATAGAGCGAGTGCCTTCAGTTCACTCCTTTCTGCACTACAGTATATTATTTCATAACACCCAGGAAGTGTGAGGACATTGCAGAGCTTTTGGGTTACAAACTAATGCATAAACTGCTGTACAGAGAATTAAAAACTTATGTTAAACTGCTACTTTTGCCCACAAATATACAAGAGAATAAAAATGCCTGTGATTATTGATGAGCAAGAATATGGAATCATGGCAGCTAGAGATTAAGACATTTCATGTGAGCAAAACCCAGACTAATAATGAATGTTAATTGGCAATTATGCAGGACTTTTTTGACAAACCATACAATGTGATAAACTCTTTTTAAGATATAAAATCCATTACATAGCCTAGATCTGTACTCACAAACTATAAATCTGGAAATAGTAAATAAGCTATTCAATGGCATATCACATTCTGGGAGGGAATCTCACACCATCCCCATTAAATGTTATATATAAACTGAAAATGACTCCCAAAGTAAATAGTTATCCTCAAGATGTTGCTAAAAATAGTCCAAACTATGATGGACACTTCCTAAAAACAGAAGTGAAAAGTACAACAAAAATATTCAGGCATAATCTTTGTGACTGATTGAAAAAAAAAATAAAAAAAAATAAAAATTTAAACACAAGTGACCAAACTTAACATTAACTGCTTACCAGAACAGGCCCTCTTATCCACAACTTATTTCTTTGGCAATTCTTCACTGAAATTACAAAAACACTGCTTAAGAGCATGGTACCATCCTGACATGCTTTAGATAAGATTATACTGAATGTTAAACTACGCTAAAACTAACATCTTTTGCAATGCTTCCAAGAGTTTAGCAAGATGATCAGTTTTAAAGCATGGAGACCTTCAGGCAAGTGCGGTTAACTTAGTCCAAGGTCTTGTCATCACAGTTAGAACCTGTTTGCATGAAAAGGACAAATAACCAAATGAACACAAATAAAATTTAAGTGACAATATTTCAGTCTGCCCTAGACACTCATCAAATTGTAATAAGAATTCAGGACTGACTGAAACATTGTAATTTTTATTTCATTTCATGTGTGCGGGCTGAGTTGTGTCAGTCATGTTACTTATTCTGTGGCAAGAACAACACTACACGAACCATGTCATGTCACAGGACAGATTTTCTCTTGGGGATGGGAGTTCATAGCATTTTTTTGCTGAACACAAGAATTTACAAATTATGGCACCACAACGGGCAATTTTACTCTGTTACTAAAAATGTTATTACTAAAAACTAGATTGATTAAATATGTTAATGAAGCAAATCTTCAGCTTCAATGAATAAAATATTTATCATTATTATCTGACAATAGTACACATCACTAAAACGTATGTAGTGCAGCGAATAAGTTAAAATATAGCCGTTATAAAGGCACTGGATCATGGCTCATATAACTGTATATGCATACCTCAATAATAAATTCTTCTTGTTACTTGTTAAGCCCGTGCATGCACACACACTTCCATCTAAATGGCGAACCAATCTTCCATCTTCGTTTATTTTTTTCACTTAAACATTTAAATATATACAATATCTGGCCACAATTTTGTATGCTTATCAGGTTGATTTACATTAATAACTATAATAAAAAAAAAGTTATGATTATAAAATATATATTTTTTGCAAGTGAAATGGACATGAAAAAATATAGCAAGGACCTTTTTTTTTTTCTTAGTAAGCATAGTTTCCCTTATTTTGTTGAGCTTGTGGCCTAGCCTGCCACTATGGAGGGGCAGCATTAAGACAATAGCTATAAGGAAGAGAAGCATTAATCTGAGCAAGGAGGGTGAAATGTAGATCTTTCCCTTTTGCAGTATTCTCCATGACACCCCCTTAAGAAACATTCACAGTACAGTATTAACAGTAGAATAATTTTTCCTTCAAGGGATTTACTTGAATTTGCTTATGCCATTAGCTAAGATATGTTACATTATAATAAATGATACTGTTGTAGTTTAGAAAGCAAGAGCATTCACAGCTGCCATTATGTCTAGTGTCTTCAGTCACATTATAATGCTACCAACAACTTGCATACCAAGGTTTTCTGCCTGCTAACAGTTTATATCGCTACAAAATTCACTGTATATATGATGACTGAATTACTGAGAAATCTTTTCATACCATATTAATTAAATTTCTCACAATCAACATGGCAACTGAAGTCTTTTGACTCTTGTTTGTAAGCTAATAGTTCTCCCTCCCACAACCAATTTAATGATTTAACCTACTCATTTTCCTCAGAACACAATTCATATATTTTAAATTATTTTAGTCCATCAAACAGAAAACTTCTCACACACATCCACAAACACACAAAGAAAGTAAATAAACAGGAACACACATACATGAATGAGTAAAAGCTTACAATTACATGCATCAACAGACATGCAAGCACTCACAATCTAACCCTCACACACATACATCTTAAGAAGCACATCAATAAACTAGAAGATTGCAAAGGCATGCTACAAAGTGGCTTCTGGAACTGAAAAACAAGAGTTATGAGTAGAGACTTAGAGGTGTTAAACATGCCAAAACTAGAAGATAGAAAAAAAAAGAGGCGATATGATCACCACTTACAAAATACTCAGTACTATCAGGAATCAACCAAATTGACAAAGTAATTCCTGAAACCAGCATCTTCAAGAACAAGAGGACACAGATTAAAGCTAAGGAAACAAAGGTGCCAAAAAATATTAGAAAGTTTTCTTTTGCAAACAGAGTGATAGACAGTTGGAACAAGTTAAGTGAGAAGGTGGTGGAGGCCAAAACCGTCAGTAGTTTCAAAGCGTTATACGACAAAGAGTGCTGGAAAGACGGGACACCACGAGCGTGGCTCTCATCCTGCAACTACACTTAGGTAATTACACACATACAAACCACAGTTCAGTCATTTACAAGGAAACACTTGTGTCAGGAGACAATAATACAGTATAATCAAAATTAATTTTGGCAAATATTCAATGCACTGCTACAGTACCAGATTTTCCACACATGAAGATTTATTTTTAATTCTGCATTTGTCAAACTGCACTAAATGTAGCTGAAGGTTATTAATAAATACTAGAAAGGTAATAAATTTAGTTTTGGTAATACTAACCTTTTAAACTGCTTAGTGTGGAAAATAATGATATCATGAAATTTAAATTTTTGTTTGATTTTCATGCTATGCACATATTAGAGAATGAAACACATCAAAAGCAATTTAAATACTGTACCGTAAAAAAATTATCTTCACGAAACTAGTAACAGGAAACTTAACCAAAGGTAACGCGATTGTCGCAACAAAAAACATCACTTTTACTGAGGGCAGCACAACAAATGGTGGCAGGTAGCAAACAACATTGACACAGGGTAGTATGGTCCTTGATCATTTATGCAGCCTACACAATAAATGAGGAATACATGATATGAGTGATAACATCTATGTGCTTCAACAACTGCTGGTAAACATTTCATGCAAGCTCCAGGAATAAATGCTCTGAGCTTTCCCAATATAAAAGTAGTCAATCAGATAACATTATAGTCAAGCACTTTCTCTTAAGCACAGGTATTGCATATGCCAATTAAACACTTCAGCTACTCATTAAAAGCAAAAAAAAAGGAACATGGATGCTTAGACTGACTAATAACCAAAGTAAGTAAGACAAGTAAATATTTAGTTGTCATTACTCCAACAAGTTAATTTGTCTGCCAAGTTTCTCAGAAACCTTATTTATTATTACTATCAAAAGTCCATAATCTATAACTGATCTAGAAATATAGAATGTTAATCTATGACAAATATGAAAATTGAAATGGCAAGCATTTTCCAAGATTTACTAATACAGGTCAATATTTTACAACCGAGATGACTTACTACTGGAATAATTTATTAATCGAATTATATTTGCACTTAAGAAGAAAAATGGTATGATTTGAGACCAGATCATTACATTTACTGATTTTCATCATTATTACTGCTATCACAACAGATGAACCTTCTGTAGGTCTGGCACCATACAGAATTATGGGCCATATTTGGAAAATAATTTCACAGTACTGCCATGTACATTACTATTACATACATATCCATACTGTATTGTAATAATGCTGTTGTGTTAAAATCTGCATGAATGGGGCCCCTTTTCAAATGTTGGCCTAGTGCCATTATAAATCCTGTACTGAACGCTAACAAGATACCAAATCTAACCACTGGTATCCCCATTACTGGCCAACACAGTGTGCCATGACTGAGCCTGCTGTCAGTGGGACTCCCATGCTTGACAAAATTTAAGAATTACTGATAAAAAGTATGAGATCAAACAGTTTTCTTTGGTGTTTTTGAGGTAAAGGACTGAAACTTTAGTGTTAAAAACTAGTCAATAGAAAACATATTTCAAACCCGGTGAATAAATTCCTAAAAATATATATTTTTTTCAAAACCAAGTATGAGTGTCCACACATTTAAATACTATTAAACAGATCACAAAAATCTCAGGAAAGCAAGGGACTTAACTTTAGCCACTGAACTGCAACTAAAGAAAATGTGAATGGTCATGTCTGTATCTTGTTAACCTGCATGTTCATCCCAAGTTCAAGACCCCTTCACATAATATTATCTGTACAACATGCAGAGAAGCAAATACTAATTGGTACATTTACTTGTCTTACTTACACAAGCTCAGCAATTAATATTATATGCTATAAAATGTAACATACAAAAATATGACTACAAAAAGGTACTCATGCATAATGTAAATAACTTAAAAGATTAAACAATAATCATAGAATAATAAAATTACTTAAAATTTTGTAATTGCTACCATAGTAATATAGAGCAGAGTACCTATATTCAGAGTGAGTTCTACTGAGACAAGCATTTTAGCACCTGATAACTTCAAAAGTACTGTACTTCCTGATAAATTAAAGAGTAAATATAAAGCTCTGCCAGATCAGCAAACATCTCTGATATCTTTTGCACAACATGGTTTTGAAGTCCACTGAACTCCAGATGGTGTTTATGATGTAATATTATATATTATATATATATATATATATATATATTATATATATATATTATATATATATATTATATATATATATATATATATATATATATATATATATATATATATATATATATATATATATATATATATATATATATATATATATATTATGTATGTATTGAAGGCAAAAGTGAGAGTTACAATACGGCTAAAGTAATAAATGGCAGTTTATCACTAATCTAGGTGTGAGCTCCCCCCCATCCCTTTTCCAAAATTTGTCAGAGAGAAATATTTTACCTAATAATGGCTACTGCATGCATCTATGAGAATAGCTGTTCAATTGCTCGGTCCATATCCCAGTTGCAAGATGACAGAGCAACAAGAGCTTGGTGTTCTCCTACCCCCATATCCATCAGACATCGAACTTTGTTAGAAAACTCGCTGTTGCCTTTGGGCACTGAAAGAGAAATGTAAAAAAAATCTATTCAAATACTCCTACTTTCATGGCTCACACAGAATGACTATATAACTTTAGAAAAAAACAAACTGCTAAACCAAATGTCAAATAAGCTCAACACACATGAATATAAAATTCAGGTCTCTATTGCCTGTACAAGACAAGACTGAATATTAAATAGACAAACTGTTCATAAATGTTTCATTAATTATCAGGTGCTGGAACAGAGTCAAGTGACGAGAAATAAGAAAAAATAATATAAAGCATTAATATTTTACAAAAGAGGCTTTAAATTAAAAATATCAACCAAAGTTATTTTGGTCAGAAATAACAACACGAGTTTATATATAAAGAGGACACTTTAGAGTCTATCAATCAATAGTTAGTGCCACTACTGTTAAAACAAGTCTTTATTTTCATTTACCCTCAAAGTTATCATATAAAACCAAATTATTAGTAACTAGTACATAAAGTACAGTAATATTAACATATGGATGTGTGCTACATCTGGTACTTCAACCAAGAATCCAGCCACACTGTAGTGCTGCAGGAAACATGAATGAACCCTCCCTATTCTATGAAATACAGGTAGTTTTCCATTTTCTTTCTTTCTTTCTTTGATCTGTTAAGTGTCTTATCGTTTTTCAATCATTTCTTCTATTTACATCTTTGTTAAGATAATCATTATTTCTCAGTGCATGAAGTTGTAACTGCTATCAATATCAATTATGCGACATTGAAACCAATATCTGGAAATACTTATCTTCCTCAAATATTCAAGTGCAACATCAAATGTTGTGGAACACTTTAATGCAATTGGAAATGTTTGAGGAGGATGGCTCGACATGATAGGTTCAGAGGAAACAATAAGTTAATGGTAAAGAGATATCAAAGATGATCAGGAACTTATCTTTGGTACAGACTACTTTCTTAGCGCATTAATAGGAACCTACTTTTTGTATGAACATGAACTCATTTCTATTGTAAAGAAATTATCAGAATTAAAAAAAATGAACACAGAACCTGACTGGATTACGGACTATTAAAAACAAGCTTATCTCCACCATGAACTGCCCACCTCCACGAAGAACTTTTTCATTCAGGAGTGTGACCAACATACCTCCAGCATGGATGTGTGACCAGTACTGAGCTGTTTGGAGGAAGAGAGCATGGTTTTCTTTGAACTGTCTGGCCACCACTGCATCTTGAGGGTCATCAGGTTCTGCTGCTGCCAGCAATGCTTGCAAAGATAGTAGTACTGTTCGCAAGGTCATTGCTGCTGCCCTGTTAAATACACCAATATTTCATTATAGATTCTTGACAAACAAAATTTATAAACATCTACATTAAAATTTTTTTTTACCTAGTCTGTCTAAAGAGATGTTAGCATTCTGTACTACATATAAATTAACTTCTAAAGGCATTAATAGGCAGCATATCTGTTAATCTTTCCCTTCATGGTCCTGTGTTTATAATGCCCTATAAATCCAAAATAAAATTTGTAAAAAGCCCTAACATGCTAGCTAAACAATGAGAAAATAATGTCTTACCACTGATCTTTCAAGATGTCCAAGCAAATAGCACCAGTAACTGACGAAATGTTGGGGTGCCAGATTTTTGTGACAAATTTTACCTGTTGAAAATATGTGCATTTCAGTATTTTAAATTACTCTCTACATCCATACCAATTTGTACATAGGGCAGTCAGTGCTATCTAATTGAATTACCTGAGTATCTGAATGGGAAGTTAAAAGCAAAAACACTCACACCACTCAAATTTTAATTCAGGATCATTCTGGTATTTTGGAGTTAGAGAATAGTGAATAGCTTAAACTTCAAAATGACATCAGATGTTGTAGTTATCAAAATGCAGGCTACTGAGATGGTGAAACTTGTTGTACCTCTACAAAACACACAAACTGTGATGGAAAGGCAGTGCAGTCAAATCATTTAAATATTCTGGATCAGTACTGTACAGATGGGACAAGTGAGGGAGAAATGGAGGAGAGAATTCCTAGGAAGGCTCGTGAAAGATAAAACAATACTCTACAATACTCTGGATGCAAAGAAAGGTTTGTTACAATAAACTTCTTCCAGTCCTGACCTGTGATAGCAAAATATGGACATGGGATGAAAAATACATATATAATTGAAGCAGTCAAACTTAAGTACTGTATCTACAAAATACATGTTATGGAATAAACAATAGAAGTGTATGAATGAAATTTGATGACAGAAAATGCACAAGACAAGAGGTGTGGAATAATATTGTTTTACATAGGATAATGTGAAATTATCAGAACAAACCCCAAAGATGCAAGGATCCTTGCATCTTTGGGGTTTGTGTGGCTGGGGGTGCTTCCCTGTTCATGTGTGGCAATTTCTGCCACAAATTCTACTTTGGTAGCAGCCTTATGGGTTGCTCTGGCCTACTGGGTCCCTGGTTCTGGGGTTTTCCTTTTAGGGTTGTCCACAGTGCCCCTGCCTTACCAGCCTGCGTTTTTTCCTCGCACTTGTGAGGAAAGTGATTACAATACAGATCAATGGTCCCTCATTCCCCAGATAGTCCCTCCCAACTCCTCTCTCTCTCTCTCCCGACACCCTCTATTCCAAAACCAGGCACCCCAACACCTCCCATACCCCACACCTTGAGCCACTGTTGTACGGGATTAATACGGTAAGGCCGATGCCTGTCTGCAGTATTTGGCAAAATCTCTGGTTATCTGAACTGCTCTTTGAATATGGAGACGTTTTGTCAGAAAAATATCCGGCCACGATTTTTGCTGGATAACCCAAACATTCGGATCAGCGGGCTTCAAATAAGCAAGCTCATACAGTATTTATATTTAATAACAGCGGAAATATACTACAATCATAACATATCAATATTAATTCCTTAATACTGTGTGCAGAAATAAACATTAATTTACCTTAGGAGGATTAAAAGGGTATGTTTCTGGTACTTTAATTTCAAGGTGAAAGGTTGCCCCCTCATACGGAGTATCAGGAGGACCAGCTATCTCTCCTCTCAGTTCTCGATAGTCATCCCCAACTAGTTCAACATTGATGGCACATTTTTGAGCCTGAAAATAATAATTTTAATTATTAAAAATTTATAATAAATAAAAATAATAATATAATAACAACAACAGTACAGGTTAGTAATGTCCTGACAAATAAGTCATAGAAGGAATGAAAATCATTGGATGGGTGGTTATTCTGGATGGGCAAGTTATGCTCGTGGATGAGAGATGATTATGGGTGAGTGGGTGAAGTTTATATGATGTTTGTGGACATGTAGGTAAGATACTGAATTCACCTGGTTGTGCTTGCGGGAGTTGAGCTCTGCTCTTTCGGCCCGCCTCTCAACTGTCAATCAATCAACTGTTACTAACTACTTTTTTTTCTTAACACCCACACTAACCCTAGGAAGCAGCCCATAACAGCTTTAACTCCCAGGTACCTATTTACTGCTAGGTAACAGGGACGTCAGGGTGAAAGATTCTGCTGGCCCCGGGAATCGAACCCTGGTCCACATGTCAAGCGTGCTGTCATCTCAGCCACCGGCTCCTGTGAATTTATAATAAATAATAACTGTACGTGCATTGGTGCTTGCTAAGTTGGTTTGGTGCTAGGGGTGTGGGTTGAGTAGGTGCTGTGTGGATACAATCTAAGCAGAGTGGGTGCTGTGTTGGCTGGTGAATGGTATTCAGGGGTGGGTATGAGTGGGATTGGAGCATGGGTGGGTATAAGTGGAGGTTGGAGCATGGGTGGGAGTGGGGATGGATTACACAAACGGTGTTCTCACCTAGCTGTACTTGCGGGGGTTGAGCTTTGGCGCTTTGGTCCTGCCTCTCAATTGTCAATCAACTGGAGGATGGAGGTGTGGGTTTGTTAGGATGAGCAGGAAGCAGAAGTGGGGGAAGAGGTGTGAATTGGGTGGGTGGGTGAGTTGTGAGGGCAGAAGTGTGTGGGTTGTGGGTCCATTGGTCATATGGTGTGGAGTTATGTTGTTTCATAGTGATCAGGTGTGAGTGGGATGGACAGGTAGTGTGGAGGGGTGGGTAGGATTTGTTCTATTGTTTGTTGGGGGGCAAGTGGTTGGGTGTATGGGTGGGTATGGGTGGGTATGGTGAGTATGGGTGGGTATGGTGGGTATGGGGCCTGACAGCTGAGTGGACAGCAATTCAGATTCGTAGTTCTAAGGTTCTGCCTTCGATCCCCGGTGGAAGTAGAAACAATTGGGCAGAGTTTCTTTCACCCTTATGCCCCTGTTACCTAGCAGTAAATAGGTACCCGGGAGTTAGACAGCTGTTACGGGCTGCTTCCTGGGGGATGTGTAACAAAAAGGAGGCCTGGTCGAGGACCGGGTCGCAGGGATGCTAAGCCCCAAAATTATCTCAAGATAACCTCAATATGAGTGGGTATGGGTGTAGAATTGGTGGGTGGAGTGGACATATTGGTGGGGGGAGGGGGGTGAGTGATTGGGTGATGGTAGAGCACAAGGGAATATGTGCAGTGTGTGGGTGGCTGAGCATGTGGTAATAAACAATACCATTAAATATTAATAAAACTATTCAGATTAGAATGAATAATCCTTGAGCACAGTATGTGTGTCAGCAAGCAAGTTGGGTTTCCATGCACCCTGGATTTCATTGTAATAATGGAGGCTGAAAAATGGAGGGAGCATTAAATTTTAATGTTAAAAATATGACGACCAAACCACTTATCAGAAATATGGAGAAACTGTGACATTTCGGTCCGTCCGGAACAATTATCAAGTCATGTGATAAAAAGAGAGAAAGGTATAGGCAAATAAATATAGAGTGAGGTGAGAGGTGAGGAGTAAGAGAATAAGGTAAGAGTAAGACGAAAGGTAAGAACAGGAAGAATGTTAAGAATGGGATGAAGGTAAGAATGGGATGAAATTAAGAATGGGATGAAGGTAAGAATAAAAAGGTAAAAGGAAAGGTAATAAATAAAAGTGGGTAAGAAAAAGGGGTATGTTTAAGTCGGATCATGTTTGCTATTAAGACGGTTGGCGCATGTGTGTACAGTGTACCGTGAAAGGCAAGAGTCAGCACCAACAAAGCCAGGACTAAAGATTCATGATGGGCACGTTGTGCATCAGAGCCGATTCCATAAGTCAGCGTCTGCAAAGACTAGAAGCAGGAAAGATTATTTTAGAAGATCACCAAGCTATAGAATGATTAGTCCCTAGCATGATAGAAGAGAGCATTGTATTTGTCTGCAGACTTAACACTCGTGTTTCGCAAGTCTGTCATTCAGTGTACGGCCAGATTTGCCAAAGTACTGGAGGGGACAAGATGAACAAGAAATGTCATAGACACCAACACCATTGGAAGCAGGTGGAGCAGTGTGAACCAGATTACTACGAAGTGTGCTAGTTTGTCAATAGGCGAGCTTTACATCAAGAGTATTAGAGATTTCTTAGCTCAGATATGAAGGGAAGGCACAGCACAGTGTTACTGATATTGGAAACAGGTTTGGGATGAAAGAAATTTTGTTTAGCTTGAGAATAGGCACAGTTAATAAAATGTAAGGGGTATCCAAGGTGAGAGAAACTTGTACATAAAAGAAATTTCAGAATCAAGAAACCTAGTCTCATTTGTTTTGAGTGAAAACTCTGAAAAAATTATTCTGGAATTCTATGGAACTGAGCCCTTTTTTCTCAACATACTGAACATTTTTGCTTGATTTTATTTGCATTTGATATGCATGATTTTTGCATTAGTGTAACCCCTGCATATACTGATGACCACATTTACTTTAATTTTCAAGGAAATGCCATTAAATGTACTCAAGAAGTTAAACAGCTTTGAATGCAATATGTTTCTTTCTAGTGGATCTCACTCAGTGGCTCCTTATTACTTCCCTTCCCTCTGGGGCTTTCAAGGATCATCTTTGAGTGGCCCATGTCTGTAGTACTCAGCTGGCTGAAGTGCTGGCTGGCTGGGGAAGCCATTTAGTGGTGAGGAGCAACTAACTAGTGGGGAGGAGTAACTAACTAGTGGGCAGAACTGGCAAATGAGTGTGTAGATAGCTGTCAGAGTCATCAATGTTTCTCCATGCAGTTAGGCTTGCAGCCAATAGGCTGGGTGGCTTTGGAAGCTACCAACAAAAGGCTTCATAGAAAAATACCTGTACTGTATTCCTATCAAGTATACCAATTACAGTATGTCACTTTCCACACAAATTCGCATCTTCTTTATCTATATAGGTCCATGTATGCTTCACCTACACTTTCAAACATTGATTAGTCTAGATAGGCTAGATCCAGAACAAACTTTTTAAATAACAAAAGTGAATTCCCTGAATGGTCTCAAAAAACTTTCATAAATATTAATTTGGATTCAAAGTATACAATACTGTATCAACAAATATTGAGAGCCTAATTTTATAATTATTTATATAAAATGTTATAAATATAGGGGGGCGGGTACCATCTCTGGTGCAATTGTAGGGACCCACAGCCTGAAAGAAGAGAACACAGAGCATTCAAAGAAAAACTTGCTATTTAACTCTGAATACGTATGAGTGTTCACTTCTCCTACCACCCCCTTTTGTTTTAAAAATGTTATAATATGTCAATAAAAAACACGTAAAAAGCTTTAGAACAGTAATGAGTAATTATCCACTATGTCATCATTGTCACCAAAGTGTCGAGATTGTACTTTTAGGGAATTTTTGCACCACGCAACATAAACATTGTGTTCCGTCACTGCTTAAGCTAAACTATGATTATCTAACAGGTTACCCAAGTCAAACATAACCCAAATTAACCTAACACAACTAAAATGTAATTCTGGACCAGGGCACTGTACAGCTCATATATACTCCAGTAAAGAATATCTAAGTTTATAATAATAATTATTATATACTTATTGCCATGGGTAATATAGTATAACTTTACAACAGGGATTTGAACCAACTGTACTGTGAATGGAGGTGATGCTCAAGATACACCTGATCTTTCTTCGTACTCACAGTGATCTTATCCCTGGCTTGATCCCTAGTCCTTCCTCAGAAACGATAATTCACAGCAGAATGTTATCTTTCTGTGGCAGAGGAGTTAATCAGTTAGTCCAGACCGTGCATACATTTTTTAACTGATTGACAACCCTAATTCAATCTCTTCCCAGAAATATCATCATATTAAATATGTATAATGTTGCTTTTAATATCCTTCTTGACAAATCATCTACATAGCTAAAGAAAAAGATCGAGAACTCATCTGGTGGCACTGTCGAGACTTGGAAGGTTGATCTCATACGAGTTGATTACTTGGTGGGATGGTCAACTGGTGGATAACCTTTATGTGAACAAGTTAAATGTACTGTGCTCAAGTGATGTAGCATAATAATATACACGTATACAGTAATTCTATTTTCCTGCAAATTTCTGTGAGCTACTACTGCAATATGAACTTTGTGCGCGTGTGTCCCTATGTACTTGTATGCTTCCCCAAAAAATATGTAAATCAAAAGAAAGTTTTTGTACAAGTACTAATTCTCTCAGCCAAGGCTGCTCTAGTGAATGGTGACGTTTCTCGTATATTAACTTTTTATGGACATAAATTGTGAAAAATAGCTTTATCTCCCATGGCCTGCATTTTTGTATCGAAGTTACAACATTTATATTAGGCTCAAAAGATTTGCAGAACATAATATTGTATACAAAACACACCCACATTCAACATATTGGTTTTAAGTTCAATACTTTACTTAAATTTTACTAAAAAAAGTAATTCTTAAAATTTATTTATTCTTAGCAAGTTCTAAATCTATAATAATAATAGGCTATCCAACAAGAAGTCATCTATACTGTTCCAAGGGCATAGGAGTGTACTTAGCACTCCACAGGGAGGTGTCCACAGTCCTACTCTGTTCAATGTGTTAATCAATGCACTTCTAAACTCAGTAACTAGGAGGCCCAGCAAACACATCATTAGCTATGCATATAATATACTGATCAACACCAATGGATATACCAACACCCAAAATGTTCTGAATTCTGTATTGCACACATGTCAGGAACTAGGCTTAGTCATCTCAGTAGAGAAAGCCCTAGCCCACATTAGTGCCATTTGTCTCTACCACCAGTATGAGGGTAGAGGTGGCAGTACCCAAACCCACATTAGTGCAATTTGGCCCTACCACCAGTGTGAGGGCAAAGGTGGCAGTGACCAGACCTACACTGGTGCCACTTACCACCAGTGTGAAGGCAGAGGTGGCGGTGCCCAGGCCTACACTGGTGCCACTTGACCCTATCATCAGAGTGACGCCAGAGGTGGTGGTGGTGCCCAAGCCCACACTGGCATCACTTGACCCCGTCCTCTCATCCATTTCTCCCCACACAACTCTGATGTAGTTCTGACTCTACAGTACAATGGACTGACACCAACTTACTTCGTCGCTTTTGATAACCTCTTTAAACTCCCTCTTAATTCTCTGTATGGCGATGTTTGCCATGATTGAGACGCCCCGAGCAGTGTTTACTCGCTGGAGTGTTTTCGTTGACTACCAGCTGAGAGGCTCGGACATGCATCTTTTCCATTCCCAGCTCATCTAGAGACCATACATCTTTCCTCTCTCAACAGTCGCGCTTACTATATTTATTTATTTATTTATTTATTTATTTATATTAACTACTTATATGTATATACAAGAAGGTACAATGGGTTGTGAGAGCACATACATTAGTGATTATGTGGTACAGTTTTCCAAAGTCACCAACGAATAGCGTTTCGAACAGATCCTAAAGTTAAACAAAAAAGAAGAAACATTCAGTATTGAATAAATAAGAAATGCAATGATAGGTTCATAGTAACAGAAATTGAATTTACATCACTGCTGTATCAGCATAAAGTGGTACTAATATAAATTATACCGTTGAAAGTGCATTTCTAGATTGCAAAAATTCAGGGCAAGTAAGTAGGCAAGATACAGCCTCGTGACCCTGAATTTACCTGAAGGGTCACCATCTCTCTAGTTGCATTGACGGGGACAGGAAGCCGGTGGCTGGTCATAGGTCCCGGCCATTTATCCTGATGATTTAATCGAGCTGGATTTTGAATTACAGCAATATTTTGACACGTACCACTTCGATGAGTAGGCGATTCCATTGGTTTATAATAATAATAAAAATAATAATAATAATAATAATAATAATAATAATAATAATAATAATAATAATAATAATAATAATAATAATAATAATAACAATAATACACACACAGAAATCCCAATAACGTGATATATCAAATGAACAAATCCCACAAGGGCCTTGATATCATCAAGGCCCTTGTGGATTTGTTCATGTATCACTTTATTGTGATGTCTGAGTGTATTGACGTAGGGGCGTCAGAGGCAGAACTATTTGGTTGACAGAGCCCGGGTGCATGAGGGAATTGTGTGAAACCCTGCTAGGCGTCGGGACCCTGGTGGTACCTCTGCTAGGTGCACAGGTGCATTAGGTGACAGGGAACGCGTCCAACCCGGAATTCGAACCCGAAATACTCGATTGTGATCAATATCCTTCAAAAGATACCAAATTGTACCACCAATACAACCGGTCCTCTCAAATAATACGCTGTATTTTGTACGCTATGATCCCCAACGGGCAACATACGTGGTACTCTAAAAATTAGCGGCTCACAAGCATTTCCGATTTCTATGCGTGGATCTGTTGCTTCAGGAGGGTGGGTGGGCTAGGGTTCACACGGCTGTAGTACCTTTGTGTCCCTGTGGCAACTCAACAGGACGAGCTGCACTGCCAACACTATAATACCACCACCACCACCATACCAACTCTACAGTAACACCATCACACTCTCCCCACCAACACTACAGTGACACCATGAACACTCTCCCCCACCAACACTACAGTGACACCATCAACACTCTCCCCCACCAACACTACAGTGACACCATCAACACTCTCCCCCACCAACACTACAGTGACACCATCAACACTCTCCCCCACCAACACTACAGTGACACCATCAACACTCTCCCCCACCAACACTACAGTAACACCATCAACACTCTCCCCCACCAACACTACAGTAACACCATCAACACTCTCCCCCACCAACACTACAGTGACACCATCAACACTCTCCCCCACCAACACTACAGTAACACCATCAACACTCTCCCCCACCAACACTACAGTGACACCACCAACACTCTCCCCCACCAACACTACAGTGACACCAACAACACTCTCCCCCACCAACACTACAGTGACACCATCAACACTCTCCCCCACCAACACTACAGTGACACCATCAACACTCTCCCCCACCAACACTACAGTGACACCATCAACACTCTCCCCCACCAACACTACAGTAACACCATCAACACTCTCCCCCACCAACACTACAGTAACACCATCAACACTCTCCCCCACCAACACTACAGTGACACCATCAACACTCTCCCCCACCAACACTACAGTGACACCACCAACACTCTCCCCCACCAACACTACAGTGACACCATCAACACTCTCCCCCACCAACACTACAGTGACACCATCAACACTCTCCCCCACCAACACTACAGTGACACCATCAACACTCTCCCCCACCAACACTACAGTGACACCATCAACACTCTCCCCCACCAACACTACAGTGACACCACCAACACTCTCCCCCACCAACACTACAGTGACACCACCAACACTCTCCCCCACCAACACTACAGTGACACCATCAACACTCTCCCCCACCAACACTACAGTGACACCATCAACACTCTCCCCCACCAACACTACAGTGACACCATCAACACTCTCCCCCACCAACGAAGCGCCTCCAAATATTCCAATCTTATTATATTTTCCCACATATAGGATATGGAAGATAAATCATTATCAATAATTGTACATTGTATCAGTTGATACAATATACAACATTGTATCAGTTGATACAATATACAACAATCAACACTGACATAAACATCTAAGTCACAATGGAAGAGCTCCAGCAGGTGAAACGTCAAGATTGTGATGAGTTAGGAATCATCAACGAGTCTCAAGAACGGAAAAATGAAAATATGCATTTAAGAAAGCAATGTCAGGATATAGAGTATATTGCCAAGACCAAGCGATTCTGCGAGACAGAAAATATTGTGGACTTGACTCTCAAGCATCTGAAGCGACACCCAGAGGACCAAGTTACTGTGCTTGGGTCGGGCACCTTCGGTTACTGCTGGAGAGAACTCGGGCCAGGAAAAGATTTGGTCATCAAAAAGTTTAAGGGACGAAACCCACATAAATCACTTTACAAAGAGCTGACTCACCTGGTAGCAGTTCAAGAAGTTCTAGGGACTCAAGTGCTTACTGGGGTTCGTATAGAGTCCTGCTTGCTTATAACTCAGTACAGTGGGATCACGTTGCGTACATACATAACCCAAAGGAAACTCACTCGACAAACTCTGTTGCCCATCATGACTCAGTTGGTCAGTGTTATCTCAGGACTTGTTTCCAGGAATATCGTCCACAATGATATAAAAATGGACAATATCTGCATTCGTGAGACAAAAGAAGGAGTTTAAATAACTTTAATCGATTTTGGCCTGGCCATAGTGATGGGCAGGCGTCTCTACTTGAAGCCCAAAAGCGCAGAGCGCAAGACATAATTCCCCTGGATGGCGCCAGAAATCCTCGACGCTAAACATGCCACACCAACGTCGGATGCCTACAGCGCGGCCGTGCTCTTTAATACACGGAGACAAACACACAAGTTATCCTTATCCACTAACATCGACAAGTGGATCAGCTAAACTCTGAACTCTGACCCAACAAGCCGACCGCCAGTTGGCGCCCTGCTGGAACTAATTCAAGCTGAAACAGAAAAATGAAGTCTAGAGCTACTAGTGAACAAGTGACGACACTAAGAAACCACCTACTTTAGCGTCTTGAAACGACTAAGCTGGCTTCCGTCAGTTGGAAGTGATACGCTTTGGATCGCAATAGGATGTTTGGTGCCTCTAAAGTATTGCTTACTAATGAACAAATCCATTGTGTATGTATTGCGTGTGTATTGCTTACTATAGAGGGATGCTCGGCACTTCTCGGAAGACAGGCACCATATCTACACTACATACTACAATCTTCCCGGCTTAACTGATAATTACTGACATACCACCGTCATTACGGTAATAATTATTAATTAATGTTAAAATTATTATAATAAGAATTATAATAATTGTTGTAATTAATAATTATTACTCTTCCTTCTGCTGGGTCATGAAAGAAGCCGGCCTCGGGTGAAAGAAAGCTGTGAAGATCTCTGTCTGGAACCCGTAGGTGCGGGACCGGGCCGTCCACCTCCTGGGGCCCTTGCGGCCCGGACTCTGCTTCAGGAGGTTGGGGGGGGGGGGGGGGGTTCTTGTCCTTGCTGGGGCGGTTCTTCTCCAGCCCCGACCACGGCGGTCTCCGGGTCTTGAGTCCCTGTGCCTTCTTTTACCAACTTCGAGGTCAACTCTGGAGCTGGAGCCTCTGGGGGCAGTTCGTTGTTGTCTTCAACTTCATTCTGACAGTTCCTGCGACTGCGCAGGAACCAATAGTATTGGCGTTTATCTTTCCATTGGAGACGAGGGGAAGGAATGGTGCCCAACCACTTGGACGGTCGGGAATTGAACGCAGACCTGTATGAAGGGAGCCAGTCGCTCTACGGTCCAGCTGCTCCAAGTGGTTGGGAGAGCTCGATAAAAGCCTAACGTGTATGAATACAATCGCTTCCTGTTCCCCCGACAAAATGAATTAATATTATATTTTAATGAAGCACATTCTTAACAGTTTTGCCACAATTTATATGTAATTCAGAAGTTATATAGTCGTTTTCTTTGTAAAGGGATATACACTAGCAACAGAAAACTATGACTTAATTGTACATTAATTGCCGTGTATCTTAATAGTAGGCATCCATCAGTCTCAGGAGACTATGGAGTTACGCTCTGGTTGTCGGTCTGGAGTGGCCTCACCAGGGCGCAAAGCCAGGGTAGGTTGATTCGGGGAAGAAGCTGTTACCCATGCAGCAGGTCCCCCCTCTCCACGGCGCTGAAAGTCTCCAGTGGAAAGGCGTACCAGTGTTGCCAGATCTAAATTGCTGAAAGTAGCGAGCTGACGGTCTAAAAGTAGCGAATTTGTAATAAGAGTAGCCCAATTTTCTTTAGTGAATGATATGGGTTTCAAAGTAATATATTTTGATATATAGAGTACACTACACGATGTTAATTGTTTTATTAATATTATTTCTGCCCATACACATACACACACATATATATATATATATATATATATATATATATATATATATAGAACTATATATATATATATATATATATATATATATATATATATATATATATATATATATATATATATATATATATATATATATATACGTGTATTCGTACTCATTGACTTTGTGCGCCCCTTGAGGGACATGAAGTAGAGGGAGATAGAAATAGCCATAGCTGCTCTATCCCTTTGAGATGTTTTTTTTATTGCCTCAATAAACATACCTGAACTTGAAGTGGACTTTCATGTTTTTTCGGCATTATCCGTATCCTGATCCCTTTCGAGTGCTATATAGTCGTAATGGCTTGGCGCTTTCACTTGATAGTTCCCCCACCCCCTGAATAATATTACGAGAGCAGTATTTACGGGCTATTCATGCCCGTGCCACCTCTTGGGTGACTTAATCTTCATCAATCGAGAGCAGTACGTCCTAACCAGACGTTATATGATGATATCCTGAACAGTTGATAAATAAAAGTAATTGCAGAACTCCAGTTATCTAATACTTATCATAAATGGTATAAAACCTTTATTTATTTATTTATTTATTTATTTATTTATTTATTTATGCATATACAAGAATGTACATAAGGAATGTGAGGATACAAATATGGTAATTACAGTCTTGTAAAGCCACTAGCACGCGCAGCGTTTCGGGCAGGTCCTTAATCTAAGAAAATTTTAAGGAGGTAAATACTTGCAAAATTTATAGACAAAAAAATGATAACAGATTACATGGAATGAAAAAAAAAGATGAGAGAAAATTATAGGTACAGTATATTAAAGCACATAGGTAGCTATGATTGATTGCAATGACAGCTTAAAATGGTAGTTGACAACAAATTGGTAGGCACAATACAGCAGAAACAATATAAGATTGATTGCAATGACAGCTTGAATGGTAGTTGACAAAAATTGGTAGTCACAATACAGCATATGGCTAGCACATAAAAGAAGACAGCAATGAACACAATGATAAGGTTGTTTGATATTACATAAAAATTAGGAGATTGGGAGATTAGACCTTATCATAAGCCATTGGATTTGTAGATCAGTGTTTAAAAGGGAATTCGGAAGTAATAATAATACAGCTGATGCCATCTGTCGGCAGAAGAGAACACTATCAACTGGCTGGTCAACAGTGGCCATAAGATACAGCTTACGCCATCTGTTGACATCAAATTACACTTATAACAAATTACCCTACAAAATACAACTAACGCCATCTCTGTTTTTTCCAACGCACTATAAATAGCCAAACAGCAACCCATAAGGTGGGTTGTTGTGCTCGGGTAGGAAGTTCCAAGCTCCGCCCACAGATGGTATGGGGTGCATAATAAATGGCATATCATTGGTAGAAACTCTTTGTTGACATTCACACAACAGCCAATCACAGGAAGGGATCAGCTATAGGTGCCATCCACTTAGTAAATCATCTTAGTTCAGCCCACCAGTCCTGCTTATGGAATTCTGCTTTAACTTTAATTTACCCAAAAAAGTGAAGTGTTAATTATTTAAAGTGTTAATAAAGTGATAATTAAATATTGCAGGATATAACAGATGTTATATAAAAATGGGCTGCATGGCTACCTAACTTGTGACGTCATTATTGGGGGTTGCCTTGACACAAATAATGATACACTGCTCTGCCCTCTTATTCGAGTAAATTATTCAGTTAGATGGAGATTTCTGTCAGGTGCAAAACAGAAATTGTTGTTCTTTTTCAAGAACCCATTTCTTAGTTTAAATTTTATTCATAAAAGAGTGTTGGTATTCCTCGCAAAAGCCAATCACAGGAAGGTATTTCTGGAAGCTCCGCCTCCTTATGGACTCAGCACATCGCTCTAGCTCATGGCTGTTTCATCTCTTGTATATACAAAATATGACTTTTTTCGATTACTGTTATAATTAATAATATGAGATATAAAAGTTTTTACACAAAATGGCTAAATTCTGCCATTAAATGGACTTTGTCTGATATACATACAAACATACACCAATTTATTACCATTCATCCATTATTAATTTCAAATGTAATGTATACTGTAGTTTTTTTCCTCTCACCATTACTTGGTGCAATATTTGAAAGTTGTCTATTTATTTATCGATCTATCTATTACCTTGTATTTATATTTACAAGTTTCTGTGCTTGGAAGAAAACTCTGTATTGAATTGGGACTAATTTATCAAATAATATTATTTAGTATTAATTCATATTTATAATTATTATTAATTAAAATTATTTATAGCTTACTTACTTTCATGTAACTCGCAATCGTACATTCTTAACATTAATAGCCCAAAAAGTAGCAAGTAGCGAAATTAAAAATTTGGGAGCGCGGGGCTGTCAAAAGCAGCCCAATTCGCTATTTGCGCCAATACGATTGGTTCCAGCGACGTCGCAGGAACTGTGAGTTGCAAATTATAATTGTACTAAATATAATTAATAATAATAATAATATATAAAATAATTCACCTAAACTTCAATTTATTTTACACCTATCTTATTCTACATATAATCTGCATATGAGAGGGAATAAATAACACCGGTAATGGTATATTGCCTTTAATGTATATTTTAAAATACTGAGCATACAGTATATCCAAAATTTGAGTATTCTTACAATAAATACATTTAGCACATTATTATTATTATATATTTAAATTTAAGTAGATATTTCTGGATCATTATAGCAAAAATGTTTCAATAAAGTACACATGGAAAGCTTCATATGCAATTTTAGACATAAATATATATATATATATATATATATATATATATATATATATATATATATATATATATATTATCATATATATATATATATATATATATATATATTATATATTGTCATCTTACATGTATTTTACTGCCTATAATAAAACTTTAACACATTAAAAAGAGTACATAACTCTTCACATCCTCTCCAAGCAAAACTTTTTGCCAAAGTAATATCAGGAAGTATGAAGTTGATCAGGAAGTGTGAAGGTGATCAGGAAGTGTGAAGTTGATCAGGAAGTGTGAGTTAATCAGGAAGTGTGAGTTGATCAGGAAGTGTGAAGTTGATCAGGAAGTGTGAAGTTGATCAGGAAGTGTGAGTTGATCAGGAAGTGTGAGTTGATCAGGACGTGTGAAGTTGATCAGGAAGTGTGAGTTGATCAGGAAGTGTGAGTTGATCAGGACGTGTGAAGTTGATCAGGAAGTGTGAAGTTGATCAGGACGTGTGAAGTTGACCAGGAAGTGTGAAGTTGATCAGGACGTGTGAAGTTGATCAGGAAGTGTGAAGTTGATCAGGAAGTGTGAAGTTGATCAGGAAGTGTGAAGTTGATCAGGAAGTGTGAAGTTGATCAGGAAGTGTGAAGTTGATCAGGAAGTGTGAAGTTGATCAGGAAGTGTGAAGGTGATCAGGAAGTGTGAAGTTGATCAGGAAGTGTGAAGTTGATCAGGAAGTGTGAAGTTGATCAGGACGTGTGAAGTTGATCAGGAAGTGTGAAGTTGATCAGGAAGTGTGAAGTTGATCAGGAAGTGTGAAGTTGATCAGGAAGTGTGAAGTTGATCAGGAAGTGTGAAGTTGATCAGGAAGTGTGAAGTTGATCAGGAAGTGTGAAGTTGATCAGGAAGTGTGAAGTTGATCAGGAAGTGTGAGTTGATCAGGAAATGTGAGTTGATCAAGAAGTATAAGTTGATCAGGAAGTGTGAGTTGATCAGGAAGTATGAGTTGATCAGGAAGTTGATCTTGAGGTGCCATTATAGTCTTCTTTACTGTGTGAACAATTAACTATAGCAGCACTTCAGTGGATTAAATGAATATCCGTAGGTTTATCCGTAGGCTGGTGATGCGACGGTCGATGGTTCATGAAAGACTTCAGCGGAGAAAGTGCACAGGTGTCAGCCTCCTCCTAGCAAAACGACGTCATCTTACGTAGAGCTAACCGGAAAAAGTCCTTCCAACCCACGGTAGGTACTTCCTTCGGGTTCGACTCCTCGGGACAAGAGGAGTCGGTATTCTTTGCCAGAGGTGCTCGACGGAACAGTTCTCTGCTGCTGGCGATGGTACGCCTGGAGGGTGCAAAGCGGTCCAGCCGGCGGGGCAAGTTGCGGTCTAGTCTGGCGATGGCGCGCTCGCAGGGTGATTGGCATTTGATACTGGCGATGGTGGACTCGTGGCTAGGAGACTGCTGTCCACTAAAGACAAAAAGAAAAACAAATATTAATAAAACAGTTTAGGAGATAAATCAATGGAGCCTACTTGTATTATGTTACGCGGTAATTGGTTCCAAAAATCAACAACCCTGTTACCGAATCAGTATTTACCCAGGCCTTTCCTAAATCTAAACTTGTCCAATTTATACCACTGTTTCGTGGTCTGACTTGTGTTGATACTTTTAATACCCTATTAATATCACCTTTTGTTATGTCCATTCATGTACGTGTACACCTGGTTTGATAACAGGGTTGTTGATTTGCGGAACCAATTACCGCATAACATAATAGAAGTAGGGGCCCCTCGATTGTTTCAAGCGTAGGATATATATATATATATATATATATATATATATATATGCGAACAAGCCTGAATGGTCCCCAGGACTATATATATATATATATATATATATATATATATATATATATATATATATATATATATATATATATATATATATATATATATATATATATATTAGATATATATATATATATATATATATATATATATATATATATATATATATATATATATATATATATATATATATATGAATGAGATTGGGGGTGGATATAAATAGGAGCTACCTCGTATGACTGAGGCAATAGGCCTTCTGCAGTTACCTTCATTCTTATGATCGTTAACTGTAAGGTTGAGTAGCTCACCTAGTCTCCGGGAAGAAAGCTTTCTGCGTTGTGAGGGGACAAATACTTTGGCGCTGTGGCTGGTATTGCTTGGGCGTGCTCATCAGTAACTCCAGATCCAGCCGCATTTGTCGGGCTGCATACGCTTCTGAAGTTTACAAAATTCCACTAAGAACATAAAAACAGATTAAACTGTGGCAAGCGTCCTGGTCCATGCGAGGACGCGCCTATAGTTATATCAGCTGTATGTGGCTCTTTATGTAGACAATGAGCCGCAATAACGTGGCTGAAGATATGATCACCAGACCAAATACCAGAAAATGAAGAAAACAACGACGTTTCGGTCCGTCCTGGACCGTTATTTCCATTATGGTCCAGAAGCCTGATTCACGAAGCAGTTACGCTAGCACTTACGAACCAGGGGCTAGATTCACGAAGCAGTTACATAAGAACATAAGAACAAAGGCAACTGCAGAAGGCCTATTGGCCCATACGAGGCAGCTCCTATTTATAACCACCCAATCCTACGCTAGCGCTTACGAACCTATACATCTTTACTCAATCTTTGGCGGCTTTGTTTACAATTATTAAACAGTTAATGAGCTCCGAATCACCAGGAGGCTATTTATAACAATAAAAACGGTTGATTATGAAATTTTCATGCTTATAAACTGTTTAATAAATGTAACCAAAGGCGTCAAAGATTGAGGGAAAAATGTACACGTTCGTAAGTACTTGCGTAAGTGCTTCGTGAATCCTGGCCTCTGGACGGACCGAAATGTCGTAGTCTCATCATTTACATCAACACGAAATTAAACATAAAACGTTAATATAAATGGGATAAATTTAGATTTAGGATAGATAATTAACATTTTGTAATGTTATAGATAATTATAATTTAAAAGATAATTATAATAATTATAAAAAGATAATTATAATAATTATAAATAGATAATTATAATAATTATAAAAAGATAATTATAATAATTATAAAAAGATAATTATAATAATATTATAAAAATAATCATAATAATTATAAGATAATTATAATAATTATAAAAATAATTATAATAATTATAAAGATAATTATAATAATTATAAAAAGATAATTATAATTTAAAGATAATGTTATAGATAAATAATATAATTAGACCTGGGGATAGATAATTAACATAACCAATTACTTAATTGTTTCAAACCTAGATCAGACATATAAATGAGTTTGGGTGGATATAAATAGGATCTACATTACACACAGAAATCACAATAGTGTGATGCATCAAATGAACAAATCCACAAGGGCCGTGACGAGGATTCGAACCTACGTCCGAGGCCATCCCAGACATTTAATAGGATCTACCATTTAGGGGGCCTTCTGCGGTTTCCGTTATTCTTATGGCGTAATACTGATGAAGGAGTTTCAGGAAAAGGAACTATATATATTCTAATATGATATATAAATATAATATGAATTATATCCACTTGTGATGGCAGTGATCTCACATAGGTGTTGTCCAGCATGATGACACAGACAAGGCAGCTAAAATTGCATGTGATAACGCACAGAGATTACACTAACGTGATGCATCAAATGAACAAATCCACAAGGGCCGTGACGAGGATTGGAACCTGCGTCCGGGAGCATCCCAGACACTGCCTTAATCGACTGAGCTACGACAGGGTAAAAGAGTTGAAATCGAAGTTCTACTGAACTTTCTGGATCCCGTAGCCTCTCCGAGGCACAAACCAGGGGTTTACACAACTCCCCCCTGCACCCGGCAGTGTCTGGGATGCTCCCGGACGCAGGTTCGAATCCTCGTCACGGCCCTTGTGGATTTGTGCATGTGATAAGCCTGAAATGGAGTTGGACATGGACATTCCAATCTCTCGTATAAAAGCCGCAATATTTCAGGAAATTAGGGAAGAACGAAGAGCAGTTACTGACAATCAAAGGCCAGAAAGCACGAGTATAAAGAGCTATGATATGTTTAGAACCGAGAATTATATGTACGGTTAGCATAAAACATCCACTAGACAGCGTGACATTGTAATTACCAGAATTAGGCTGGGATATCGGTATCTATGGCAGGTGGCTGCAGGTAATGAATCCGCCAATGGTGAACATTCCAATTATAAACTCTGTGAACAAGAGCTGGGACATGCTCTCCAACACTATATCTGTGATTGCCCTGTTATCAGTGACCAAATGGTATAAGGAACTTTGAGCTCTTCATACATATATTCATACACTCAGGAATATTGGAAGATATTCTTGTGCTATACCCAGATTTTGCTAGTGAAGGCATTATAATAAGCTTACATTTTAAGCCCTTACATTTTATGTTCCCTCCTGATTTCACGTATGCCAAGCCGTCCTGTGAGGTGGGGATGTTGGATGAGCTTGTAGCTGGTTCTTTATCTACACCGTGTAATCTTTCATACATAAAAGGGTAGCAGCATATTGTTGTGTATACCTAAGTTTGTTAAAAAAAAAAAAAACATTATTTGAGACGAATCTCATAGAAACTGCTAAAAAATAATTATAATATAATATTTCCATGATTCAGCGCTTAACTCATTATAATCATGAAGTTATTATTTAGTCAAATTTAATTTATTTTTTGTATTGATGCAGGTATTTTTCTCCTGATTCCATGTATGACTAATCATCCCGTGAGATGGGGATATTAAATGAACGGCTAGTTTTTTTATCTACATTGTATAATCTTTCATATAGAATAGGGTAATAGCACACTGCTGTGTATACCTAAACTTGTTAACACCGTCTTGCCAGATATATCTGTATCTTAATCTTATGTAAATTAAATCCTTCCAAGTAGACTTTCCTCTACCATAAGTAAAGGACGAATTTTTAATTATTATTGCACAATTCTTAAGTGTGTTACAGGCATTTTTACCACACTTGACTACTTCCTGTAATCCTGCTAATACACCTTGAAGTTCAGCCTGCGTTGAAGAGACATTGTCAGTTAAGCGGCGTCCAATAACAGTACAGTGCCGATGTCAGTGTACTCCCTGATCAAGACTCCACATCCTGCCTTCTCATTCCTAGCTACTGACCCATCACTATATACATGTAGAGTGTTTTCTGTAGGTAATTTTCTAATTATACAATCATATGCTGCCCTCAGCTCTCCTATCTCATACATACCTTTTTTCTCTTTTGCAAGGGAATAATTACTACATCTACGTTACAATCCTCCCATGGTAGTGTGAATTTTCTCTTAGGCAGAACAATACATTCTGAAATAACGTCATACTTTATAACATTAGAAAATAAGGTACTCATATATGCTCTCTTATTATACTTTATGATAATATGTTCATTACTTCCCACCTTTTAAACTGAGAGGATTAATTCATTAGCTCCCCCACCTCTCATTAATCTAACGGCAGAGGCTACATTTATATTTGAAATTCTATCCCCAATAATCTTCAGATTCAATTCCATCCTTATTATCGCAATCATAGCATTTCTTGGGCATCCTAAAATAATTTATGAATTCATTTTGTACCTTCTCCAACTTGCCCATCCTATCTTTACCGAAACAAGAAATGACACGTGCGACATAATCAATAAGGGATTTTACAGTACTCAAGTATAGCATTCGTAGCACAGGGACTCCCACTCCCTTCCCACAGCATGCCAAGGCCTTCAGATGTTGTAATATCTTCCAACACTAATCCAACAGTCTGTTCCTCTCTCAGCTTCTTCCCCAAGAATGTAACACTAAAATTATTTTTAATTTATTTTGTAATGTGTACTATGCGATAATTATTGAATTAATGGAAATTAAATTGTAATGTAAAAAAGTATAATAACTTGTGTATCAGTTTGTGAGGACCTGTAATAGAGGAAACAGCCTAAGCTACTCGACTTTTGAAATGTATTTTCTTATCTCCATAAACTTTCTTGAACTGTCACTTGTTAGTCTTCGCCTTTCTTGATAATATATTAAGCTTCCTAAATCTCTTTAGAATTGGAGATTTCTAATTCCCGGAATTAAATTTTCTTTACTCAAAATTTAATTAAATTTTTATGTAAACGTTCATGTAAATTTATGGCCATTCTGAACCGCATAATCTAATTGGCGCCTAACACATTCAAATACTATACTCATGTTTTACATTTGTTGCTAGGTTTGTTTACACAAATGTACAGTAATAGCATTTGCTGCTTCATTGTTTCAAAAACCCCAATATTCTATTTTCTTTATTCATACAGATTACACTGATTTTGTGGCTTACTGTCTCTACTAACTATGACTTCTAGATCATTTTCGCATTCAAATTTTGCAATTTAAAAATTGTCCTGATTATATTTGGTAATTATTATCATTATCTAGGCCCACCACCCTATATTTTTCAACTTTGAACTACATCTGCCAATCATTCGTCTATTTTAACAAACTATATCTGTTGACCAGACCACATACTAGAAAGTGAAGAGACGACGACGTTTCGGTCCGTCCTGGACCATTCTCAAGTCGATTGTGAGAATGGCACAATCTACTTGAGAATGCCACATGAAACGTTGTCGTCCCTTCACTTTCTAGTGTATGGTTTGGTCAACATACTTCAGCCACGTTATTGTGACTCCTCGTCTGCAAACTATATCTGTGTTGTCTTCAAAATTTCCTTCAGTATTATTATGTTGTCTGTAAATCAGAAAGAGTTGCAACTGAATCCTATCTAAATCGCCCGACCCAATAAAAACTCCTTCCAAGTATTCATCAATCCCTCAAAATTAGCTTTACGGAAATTTGGTAACATTGGGTTTCAAACAGCAACGAACATTGGACCCGAAGTTGGCTGTTTGATTACGGAATGTTTATCGAGAGTATCTGATTTGAGAAGAAATACCTCTTAAACTACAGCGGTTAACCTTACCTTCCACTGCAGCGGCCAGGATTGGGTCGTTCTTCAAGTGTGGCTTGAGATGAACTTGAACGATGATGGGAGGAGGACTCTGTTGCCTCGTCAGGACAGTGGTCGGTCTGGCCTCTTGTAAGAGTGCAGGAAAACTCTGATGCTTCGTCAGGGAAGTGGTCGGCCTGGCCTCTTGTAAGAGTGCAGGAAAACTCTGTTGCTTCGTCAAGGAAGTGGTCAGCCTGGCCTCTTGTAGGAGTGCAGGAGAACTCTGTTGCCTCGTCGGGGTAGTGGTCGGCCTGGCCTCTCTTAAGTGTTTGTAAGGACTCCGTTGCCGCGTCGGGTTTTGTTTGGTGCCGTCGGAGATGGCTAGTTTGCTGTGTACCTCTGGGCTTGCTGGAGGGCACCGTTGCTTCGTCGGGGTAGCGGTCGGACAGGCCTCTGCTAGGCATGCTGATACTTCCATGACAGGTCAATGATCTTCAGTAATCGGGGTACATACACTGTTGCGAAAACTGTACGTGGCTCGGGCCGGGTGCTTAAACTGTACCGTCTGACCCAAAAGAAGCTGAAAACTGAATCACTTTTTACTGATCTAATTGACTTTAACTTTAGGATACAATTCTTCAGTTATCCTGGAGTAAGCCCAATGGAGATGATGTCGCAAAGTAGTAATCCTGGTAGAGTCTATGGCACACACACTCCGTCACACTCAACACACTACTGAACACTGGCGGCTATTTACCGAATCCCAACCCTACATTAATACGATTATTTACCCGACCTCCCCATCACCTCCATCCCCAATTCGGGATCCCCTGTAATCCCTCCCCCCATCCGGGACCCTCTCACCCCACCCATTTTTCTCTTCACCTCCAGGGCCGCTAAATTAAGTACAGAAGGTCTATTGGCCTTCTGTATTTAATTTTTTAATGAACTGTGGGAGATCCTATTTATATCCACCAAAACTCATTCAAATATGCTCAATCTATGCTCGAAGCAAGACAGTGATCCCAGTCATGTCCCCCTCTGACTCTGCTTTTACAGAAAATGTAAATTAAGTTTTTTCAATCTTTCTTTATATGGAAGTTTTATAATTTTAAGGAATTAGTTTGTCCTCTTTTGCTGAACACCTTCAAGTGAATTCTGTAGTATTGCGACCAAAACTGAGCTGCTTAAGCTAAATGAGGTCTGGCAAGAGCAAGGTTTAGCTGGTGATGTTGATCGAGGGGCGACGACGATCGAGGGATGTATAACACCAGGTGTTTTATTGCTAACACTTCTAGAAATAAATCCTATTTGTTTGATTCCGAACATTTATGCACTGATTTTTGGCGCTGTAAATTCCATCTAATCATGACCACTGCCAGATCTTTTTCGCATTCAGACCTGGTAACATACACACTATTCGGGTCCAACACTGCTAAAGACCACCCCCCCCCCTCCCCCCAGTTTTCTGTAGTGTTTTTGATCCTACAGTGCCACCACCCACCCGTTTTCTGTAGTGATGTAGGGGCCAATATTGCCACCAACCTTACGTTTTCTGTAGTCACACCTGCACTTCTTGGCACATGTCTCCTGGCTTCGTGGCAACTTCGTCCCAACCTGTACACCTGACCACGGCATCTATTTTGTACTTCGTTACAAATTATCTTAATATGCAACGGCCATTCCTGAGTATGCTACCGTGGATCAGTTTTTGTTCTAATGTTTCAGATGCTTCAAAGGTATGCGGGTAATTGTGCTTGTACATGCTCTTAAGGCGCCACGGTCTTGCGGTTGCTCGTAAGACAAGGACACGAAAGCAGCTGAGGTAGTTCCGTTAGCCTGTGTTGACATTGTAGTGATGTGGCAGAAGGTCTCCGTAAATCTCACGCTCTCGGCAGACCAACTTCTGACCTGACTTTACCTACGTTGGATCCTGCTCGTTAGAACTCGGTGACCAGACTGACGGAAACAAAGACAGAACTCACTGCAGTCGTCGCAAAAAATTTTCCGAAGAATCTATATACACTGGGGAGTGACGATGCTGCTAGCTGGTGTTTGTGCGCAATGACGGTGGTGAGTAGCAAGACTGTCAGGAGTAGTCGAAGTAGCGATGACGGTGGTGAGTAGCAAGACTGTCAGGAGTAGTCGAAGTAGCGATGACGGTGGTGAGTAGCAAGACTGTCAGGAGTAGTCGAAGTAGCGATGACGGTGGTGAGTAGCAAGACTGTCAGGAGTAGTCGAAGTAGTAATGGTGCAGGAGTCAGATGACGTCGTCACCCACAACTGGGACTGCTACAATTGGGTGAGAACTGTAAATTGTACTGGGGGAGAGGTGGAAGGCCCGCAGTCACCCAACGACCTCCTGATTGCTGCTGTTGCTTTTATAACAACTGCACCATTTCTGAAGAGTTTATGTGATCACTCTTCAACTCTTGGTTGTTACAGTCAACCAAAACTAGCATGTGCCACTTCACGTTTGAGAGCTGGTTGTCCTATCTTCAGCGACCTGGCTGATCCTATCATCAGTAACTTCGTTGGTCTTGCAATTAATTACCTAGGTGATCTTATCAATAACTCAGGTAATCTTGTAAATTTATTAGACTTATGAAGACATATATGACGTCTCTACCTTAAATATGATTTTTGCACCTGCACAAATTCGTTGTTCTTAAGGGAACATTCCTCAGATAAGGCGAGTATCAGGTTGAAGTTCACTGAGGTAGGAACATGAAACAAGTTAAGCAATGCATCAATGGACATAGTAAAGACTAATCACAGCCATTAATTTAAAAGAAGATATAACTACACAAATAGGCTGGGCGTTAGTGCATGAGACGACCGACAGTTGGAAAGGCATGACCCATGAGCTGATGCTTGATACTGCAAAACGTTGTTAGGCAAACAAAACAAGCACGAAACCCTAGTTTACCTGCGATACATTCGAGCAAGATTCCAGCGAGGATTCATCGTGTCCACCTTGTACCCCGCAGGTCCGTGTGTGTTGGTGGTGACCACGACGCCGACAAGGGCAGCCGGGAGGCGCGTGTGGGTGATGGGGGTGTGGTCACGCCTCGCCTTTCGTGTGTATTATTCGTGGGAGCGACAGAGACGGGCGGCATACCTGCCGCCCTTCTTCCTCCAGGCCGCCCACTCTAGTGGTCGACATCAACGCCGGACTCGGACAGCAGGAAGTCGCCTAACTCTCCTTGGTGAGTCCTTCAGTCTGTAAGAGGGGGAATTTATTCCTCAGGGTAAATTCGCATGTTATGTTAGTTTCATTGATTGATGAAGATTAAACCACCCAAGAGGTGGCACGGGCATGAATAGCCCGTAAGTGGTGGCCCTTTTGAGCCATTACCAGTATCAATAGATGATACTGGAGATCTGTGGAGGTGCGACTGCACCCTGCGTGACGGGAGATGTCTCCCGTCTAGTTTCATTACTTACTGAGCCCATATATATCTAGTGGGTAGTTGGGGAATAATTACTGAACTGCATATTGAGTTCAGCAACTGGACTCCATTATCTTTAACCTAAGCTGAATTGAAATTGAAATAAGTTTATTGAGGTAAAATACACACAAAGGTTGATCAGTCCGGCAACCAGGAGGCCTGGTCGACGACCGGGCCGCGGGGACGCTGAGCCCCGGAGGCGCCTCAAGGTAACCTCAAGGTAAGGTAAGGGATGAGGTAGCTCAAGCTATTCTCACCCCGTTCAGTACATCGTGTTAATACATACATATAAACACATCACAAACAACAAACATATTACCAAACATTCTGAGAGATAAACATCTACATTTCCCCAACCTAAGCTAATTTTTTCAATTTAAACCCATTGTTTCGTGTCCTATTATGTGGTGATACATTTAATACCCGATTAATATCCTCTTCGTTAAGCCCATTAAGCCAATTATACACCTCAATTGTCACCTCCTAATTCTTCACCTTTCTTGAGAATTATTTTGCTTTTCTTACTAATCATAATGTCCTTTCGTAATTCGACTTGGCAATCTTAACACCATGTAGCTCGTATATTTGAACTGTCATCATTACCTCAAGACCTTACATTTGTCAGCATTAAACTGCATCTGCTAATCTTTTGACCATTTCAAAACCCTATTTAAATCGTTTTGAAATGATATGAGTCTTTTTCTGTGTATATTTCACTCCAAATTTTTGTATCGTCAGCAAATTTGAAAATATTGCTGCTCAAACCTGTATTTAACACGTCACAGGAAACATCCAGTTTTAATATTATGTTAAGTATTGTTAATATAATTGTTATTATGTAAAGTTGCTTAGTGTCAATGTATAATATTCCATTGTTTTTCATGGGTATTGCAGTGCACGATTCTCTTACCAGGAAGACAAGTATGATTATAATATGCATATAGAATTATGACAGTGCCAAACTACTTCCAGGGAGATAGGTTGTGTTTTACCATGTTGTTGCTCAGTCGATTACGGCGCGTCTGGGATCCTCTGGGACGTAGGTTCGAACCCTTGTCACGCCCGGTCGGGCGAGCGGACAGCAGACTGGACTTGTGATTCTGTGGTCCCGGGTTCGATCCCGGGCGCCGACGAGAAACAATGGGCAGAGTTTCTTTCATCCTATGCCCTTGTTACCTAGCAGTAATATAGGTACCTGGGTGTTAGTCAGCTGTCACGGGCTGCTTCCTGGGGGGTGGAGGCCTGGTCAAGGAATGGGCCGCGGGGACACTAAAGCCCCGAAATCATCTCAAGATAACCTCAAGATAAGATAACGGCCCTTGTGGATTTGTTCGTGTAGATGAACGCCGCCCATAATAGTCCTTGGGGCTCTCTGGGATGACTCCTACGGGATGTTCTTGTGGCAACGCCTGTATGACTCTTCCCGTGGTCCTCTCCACAGGCGTGACGCTGCTTCTACTGCTCCTGCTGCCGTGGGCAGCGTGGGTGAGAGTACAGCAACAGGCCGCCCACTTGATGGGTGTGGCGGGCGCACCCGCACCATCCGTACAGGCGAGGGCGGCGTGGGAGCGGGTGGAGGAGCTGGGCCTCCTGCTGGTGGGTGTGGCTGGCACCCTCACAGCGGCCGTGTTGGCCTCGTGTGGGTGTCTGGCTGTGATGGCAGACCATCAACTTCAAGGTATGCAAGCAACCTCTTCTGTTCAATTGTTAAACAACAAGTCCACTTTAGACAGCACATTATAATAATAATAATAATAATAATAATAATAATAATAATAATAATAATAATATTATTATAGAGAAAATCAGTAGGAGGCCGTGAGAGGATTCGAATCCTCATGGCTCTTACTGTTTTTCTCATTGATACATCATGCTAATGTGAGTGTTGTGCATTTTCATTATTATTTAAATTTTTACCGTTAATTTGAGGCGTAATGTGTTTTGGCAAGTCAAAAGTCAAGAATACAGGCATTAATTGAGGTTATTGAACTATTCCCTGTTGCATTAGACAAACATTCTGTTAATAATATTGTTAGACAAACGATAAAATAATTTAATCTTATGTTGTTGTTGTTTTAGATTTAGCTACTGAGAACAAAATGTCCATGTAGCACGGGCTATGGTGAGCCCGTAATTGAGTTTGGTTATTCGCGATAACCTTCTTACTGTGATGTTTGGGTCAGTTTTATAATCTTATGTGGACTGTTTAATATATTTGCCAATGTTGGTAAACCTACACACACCTGGTGTAGTGTGTACTCACCTAGTTGTATTTGCGGGGGTTGAGCTCTGGCTCTTTGGTCCTGCCTCTCAACTGTCAATCAACTGGTATACAGATTCCTGAGTCTATTGGGCTCAATCAATCATATCTACATTTGAAACTGTGTATGGAGTCAGCCTCCACCACAACACTACTCAATGAATTCCAATTGTTAACTACTCTGACACTGAAAAAATCTTTCTAAAAATTTCTTTGGTGTGGTGTATGTGTGTGTGTGTGGCAGGTGTGGCGGCACACGAGGGCAGCAGCAGCAGCAAATATCTGTCATTCGTTCGGCGTGTGATGATGAGGACCAAGCGACATATCCTGGGGTTCGAAACCCTCTACATGAAGATGAAAAATCTGTCCATCTTGCTCAACCAGGTGAGCTCATGGTTTGGTTTGGTTTCTGTGACTGACAAACGCAGCCTACTCACCCATATATGCTTCAAGAACCCAACTCTAAATTCTTGCGCCACAACTTTCAAGTTACTGTTTCAGTAACTTGAAAGAGTTAGTTTCAACTCTTTTTAACCCTGTCGTAGCTCAGTCAATTAAGGCAGTGTCTGGGATGCTCCCGGACGCAAGTTCGAATCCTCGTCACGGCCCTTGTGGATTTGTTCTTTCAAGTTACTGGTTATTTAACCCTTATAGTGTGAACAACGTCAACTGATGTAAATGTTTGCTTGGTCATATATATTTGCGTGCTTCCTTGAACCCCATAAGAAAATGAATAAGGGTAATTCTTCTATCCAAACTTCAGAATACTTATTTGTATCAGAATTTAGTTATCATGAAAATTCTTTATATCCAAAATAATATTTAGAAACAAAAACAAAATTAATTTTTAAAAATATTTTCGGATTTGTAAATACAGGAATAAGTGGGCTGATTTAATTGCGCACTTCAAGGGTTTATGAAGGTTTACCAGCCTGACAAGTTCTCAAAGTATGACATAAACTTGTATGTTTCCTCAGCTTGTATTCTTCGGTATGTGTGAGAGGCTTCTGCTGAGGGACGAGCGCCTCTCCAGCTTGTACACTCTCATGTTCTTCAACGTCCTGGCCTACTCCGTCTCCTATGTTAAGGTCAGGCAAGCAAACCAAAAAACTTTATTTTTCCTTAAAGCCAAAAAAGAGGTCATTGTTCAAAGTTAATTTGAGAACGTATGTAGTTAACCAGTTAGATGATACTGAGCACTTAGTCAGGTTAATGAGACCAAGGATTACTCCTAATAGGGCAACTGTTTACATTGACACATATGGGGAACTTTAATGATTTAATTATAAAAAAGCAGGCTTTGCCAGAAAGTAAAACAGACAGCGTATATTGTTTGATGATCTTAAATACATGTTATGAGAGCATCTGTGGAGACGGACGGCTGGACGGAACCAGCGTCCAGTCACCACAGTCGAGGGCTCCAGGCTGTCTAACTTTCAGTATCTCCTGCTCCTGCTCCAAAGATTTTCTCGTAGATATATGACATTATTGCCACCACACTGTGTGTTTGTGTTATGCTTCAGGAACTGATTCAGCGAGAGGACTGGTCTATGTACGTGAACATCGCGAGAACGTCTAACGTGCGCCACCTCGCCCTCTCCTCTACTAAGATCGTCCTCGAGTGGACTAAGGCCATCACCTTCATCATCACCATCGTCTTCATGCTCCTGGTCTTCGGCCTGGAGAAGGGTCTCAAGAACTACCACCCTACCACCGGCTACCTCCTCATCACCGGCGTCTACTTCATCTCCACCGAGAAAGTCTTCATGGACATGTTCACCTCCTGGCTCGACTACAGGAAGTTTGAGTACTTCGAGAGCATGGAGAGCTTCTACTGTCCGGCAATTCTTATATCTTTCCATATCATCTTATCATCCGTCATCACGTTCCTCTGTGTCTTCACCGGCAATGTGCGGCTCATCATCCTCTCCAGTTTCACAAATATACGCATCAAATATCGGGAGTTAAGTGAAGGGTATTTAAAGCCGCTGAAGAAGGAATTAACATTGTTGGCCGGTTACCGCGTGGCCAGCCGCTCTGAGGTCAGAGACCACGATGACGTCTGCGCCATCTGCCTGGCGCGCATGTCGTGTGCGCGCATAACGCAGTGCCAACATTTCTTCCATGCTGATTGCTTGCGTCGCTGCCTCAAGGAATCCCACAAGTGTCCTATATGCCAGTATAATATATGATATTCTTACTTATGCTCGAAGTCCCAGGCATTATATAGTAATCCATATCCTTGCCTCATTTATAGAATAAATAAAAACAATAGGGCGATACATCAGAATGTGTAAAGTATAGCCACAAGTATAAACTGAGAGCGTATATATATATATATATATATATATATATATATATATATATATTGTGACGGTAACGCGTTGGTGTTCGGCTGTTTAAGGCTAGGGGTATGGCCTCGTCACATAGTTATAAAAAAAAATAGAAAAACTGGAACTTCGTCTGTGGTAAGGTAAGGAGAAGACACACAAAACACAAGTAAAACTTTAACAATGAAATTTTAATGACGTTAAATAAATCAAAACATGAAAATAATGCACAAACAAATTCTTATAATAAAATCAATGAATCAAAATAATAAGAATTCTTAAATGACAAAATGAAAAGTTACGTTAAGGCAAAATAACAAGAAGTGCAATACAACAGTAAGTGGGAGGTGCTGGAATATTGGCTTAAAGCCACCACCTCTCTCAGTACACGCTAACGTCTAGCTGGGAGGTGTGCTGGCTACGAAAGCACGGAACATTCTGAAGACTGATGTTGGGGCGACCCCAGACATCGGGTAGTATTGGGGGGCGAGTGCAGGTGCAGCCAGACCGGCGACCAATCAGCGGAGCCGTAGTGATCAACGGGTAGTTTGGTGATTTGGGTCCGAACAGGTGGCGGGCTGCATACGTTTCTGCTCACCCTTGCAAGCCTTGCTGGTGTTGTTGTCGTTGTTGGACATTTCTTCCATAGTCTTTTTATATAATTGTGAAGACGTAATTTTGGAGGGAAGAGCAGGCTCAATCTCTTGAAGGAGATTATCGTCACAATATATATATATATATATATATATACTCATAATTATATGATTCTGGTTTTGGGTACTTTTAATTAGCTCTTGTATGATATATATAACTCTGTACTACCAATGTTTATATAGCTCTCAACTACCAATATTTATATAGATCCGTGTCGCCAATTTGTATATAGATTTGTACTGAAGACTAAGATCTGCACTACCAATGTTTATATAGATCTGTACCGCAAATGTTTATATAGGTCTATACTATCAATGCTTATATAGCTTTGTATTCCGTTTATATGACTGCACTACCAATGTTTATAGACAGTATACCACTACAGCCAATGTTTATACAGCTCTGTACTACCAATGTTTATATAGATCTGTAACGCCAATGTTTATATAGCGATGTACTATCAATGTTTATATAAATCTGTACAGCCAATGATAATTTTTTTTGCACTGCTACTAATAATAGAAATTGTCAACGTCTGTGTAAAAAAAAAAATACTTTTTGATCGCTGCTCGCCTTTCAGAGGAGAGGGAGGGGGGGGGGGTGAGGAGGAAGTCACTGGTCTGGACACCCCCCCCCCCCCTTAACTTCCACAGTAGCCACAGTAGCAGAGTCCTCTTCTGTGAGTAGCGAACGTGCAGTTCTGCGGTGTCTGTTCCCTCTTGTTGAGCCGAGAGTCGTTGTCACAACTTCGATCCTCACAGACTTTCACTAGCTTAAACGATATGTCTTCTACCACAAATTGTCCAGCCTTGTGGACACCAGGCATAATCATGGCTCCTCCATACGTGTTGCTGAATTGCAAAACGACCCCAAATACGGGTCGTCGACAATTTCTCACAGCAACGACTGTCACACAGGCAGTGTACGTAAATATGGCTCCACGGCAATCAATCCATTACGGGCTATTCATGCCCGTGCCACTTCTCGGGTGGCTTAATCTTCATCAATCAATCAATCAGTCCGCTGACTAGGCTAGTCCATGCAATCACACCTCCACAGATCTCTAGTATCAGCTATTGATACTGGTAATGGCTCAAAAGGGCCACCACTTACGGGCTATTCATGCCCGTGCCACCTTTTGGGTGGCTTAATTTTCATCAATCAATCAATCCAGACGTTCTAACGTCTGGTAGAGTTCGTTATAATATATATATTATATAATAATATATACTACTACTACTACTAGCCTAGTCCCTGTAATACAACAGCGTCCCTGCCTACAACAGCGTCCCTGCCTACAACAGCGTCCCTGCCTACAACAGCGTCCCTGCCTACAACAGCGTCCCTGCCTACAACAGCGTCCCTGCCTACAACAGCGTCCCTGCCTACAACAGCGTCCCTGCCTACAACAGCGTCCCTGCCTACAACAGCGTCCCTGCCTACAACAGCGTCCCTGCCTACAACAGCGTCCCTGCCTACAACAGCGTCCCTGCCTACAACAGCGTCCCTGCCTACAACAGCGTCCCTGCCTACAACAGCGTCCCTGCCTACAACAGCGTCCCTGCCTACAACAGCGTCCCTGCCTACAACAGCGTATCTACAAGGTATACGGACAAATTTATTCATCTTATTAGCTGATTATGTTATAACAGATGACTTCCCATAATTATTTTCAACAATTAAAATATGTCTATGAATTCTCACTGACGAGAAAACGGACATTTAAACCCCATGTTGTTAATTATATTTTATGCACAAATCAATAAATAGCGGAATAACAATCTTTACATAGTATTAGGCAGACAATGTTCCATATTTACAATCTACAACATACATAAATAACACCAGGCTTTTGGAAAATCAATAAAACCATTAAACTGAACAGTAGTTCTGCTGAACTTCGCACCTAAATATAATGGTAATATTGTATTTATTTGTAAACAATATTACACAGGGTATGATTACAGGTTGAATTGTATCCCTGTTTACCGTGAAGCCACAACCGGTGCTGGGTGTCGGGATGGTTTTTGTTTAAGATTCGCTACTTGGGACAAAAAGTTTCAAGTAGCACGGGCTATGGTGAACCCGTAGTGGACTTTTTTTTTTTTGGGTCTCGGGAGTCGCGCTGGGTGCTGAGTTGGGAGCTGTGCTGGGAGCCGTGCTGGGAGCCGCGCTGGGAGCCGTGCCGGAGCCGTGCCGGAGCCGTGCCGGAGCCGTGCTGGGTGCTGTGCCCAAGACGTAAACACCGCCAGCTAACAACAGCACTTCTATTGTCCTTTCCCGATTATCACTTTAATTAAAATTAACTAAGATATCAGGCCCGCCAACCACTCACGTCGGGCCTGATATCATCATCATTCATCATATTCTGATATCATCAACCCCCTATCAGAGGATCTTCCAGAAGACACCACTAAAGGGTTGGGTGTCGTAATTTTCTGCCACGTTATTGTGACTTACTATCCACATCAGTAACACATCTCGGGAGACGGGTGACGCAGAAATAAACATTTGGCTTAGCAGAGAGTGGAGTGCGAGAGCATTGCGGCATTACCAGGACTGCCTGAGGGAGTCACGGCCCATACGGAAAGGCCGTACACGGTACAGGGTTCGAGACCTGATATTAGTCTGACGATCACGAAGGGGAGCTCGTCGCCGGGTGCCGGGGTGATGGAGTCGTAGTTCACGTCGCCGTATGGGCTCGTCCACTGCAGCTCGTAATACTTGACGCAGTTACTGTTTACATCCGGAGCCCACCAAGACACTTCCAGTGTCGTCTCATTCGTCTGAAGAACCTGGAACGCCTGGGGCCTGCTGGGCTCTTCCTCAGAGGTTGTAGCGCTGGTAGTTACCCACTGGCTTCCCAGTTTCTCACTGGACAAGGCGCGGACTTGTATCTTATAGTTGGTGCAGGCTTCCAGGTCTTCGAAGATATTGTCCACTTGGTTGTATGTTTGTCTGTCTGAATAGATGACCTCTTCATCAACCCCGATAATGGTGTAGTCGTATTCATTGGTGCACTGAGGGTTCTCCACTGGCGGGTCGAAGTCGATGCTAATGGAGTGCGAAGTCACACTGCTGACTGTAAGGTTCTGAGGCTCACCAGGCGCTGGAGAAAATGTAAAATATATCCTCCAAAATCAGTTTTAAAAACATTGAAGCGCAAGCTTCATCCTTATAACCTAAGATTATGCTCTATAAAATTCTCATTGTGGTTTTGATTTCATGATGGGAGTGTCACATGAAACTACAATTCCAGGGAATTTATTTGGAGTAGGAAGAAGTAGCAGATGTGTCAGAATGTACACAAACTATATGCAATTGGCGGTGCTGTGGTCGTAACCACACATGTTCCCTCACCATACATCTCAGCACCACATGCTTCCTCACCACACATCCTCCCTCACCACTCACACTCCCTCACCACACATCCTCCCTCACCACTCACACTCCCTCACCACACATCCTCCCTAACCACTCACACTCCCTCACCACACATCCTCCCTAACCACTCACACTCCCTCACCACACATCCTCCCTCACCACTCACACTCCCTCACCACACATCCTCCCTCACCACTCACACTCCCTCACCACACATCCTCCCTAACCACTCACACTCCCTCACCACACATCTCTTCAGTGCTACACACTCTCCCTCACAGCTTTTGGCACTGGACCCTCCACCCCTCAACAAAACACATGGCAATACAGTACTCACCGACTTGGAGAGTACTCATGGTCTGCCAAAGGGTGTGGCTGTACAAGTCGGAGGGGCTGACGGCGGTGACGGATACGTAGTAGGTGACGCAAGGAAGCAAGCCCGTCAGTGTGGCCACCATGACCTGCTCCTCGTAGCAGTACAACACCACCTCCTGGGTACGAGGAGTGCGGTGTCAGGCACATTATAGTGTAACTAACAACAGTAACGGAGTGTACGAAAGATCTGCGAGATGAGGAATCTATACAAAGTGTTTTAAGTGTATATACAGTGTCACTATACGAGACAATGCCCAGATTATCTCCCCAAACAAGGTTATCTGTCGCAGAAACTACAATAGTGTGCGTGTGGGTGTGTGTTGGCATTGTTATACATCAAGATAGCAGGATGATCATTCGTCTCCAGTCTCTCTCTCTCTCTTACGCTACCTCCAGGAAAACACAATTATATCAAGCAGCATCACGATGGTCTGAGAAACCGGAATGGAAACCTGTACAGGTGAGTAGGAAAACCGAGTCTTAATGTTGCAGTTACAACCACTACTGCTATAATTACCTATTACTTCTGTGTGTTTCTGTGTGTACCTATTACTACTACCGTTCTACTGCAACTACCATTATGCTCATCATATATTCCACCGAGGGACTCTTACTGCCCCTATTTTACAAATGTTAAAGTTGGCCTTTGCTTTTTTATTTACAAGGAATAGTTTGAGTTAACGTTCTCCAGTGTGGGGCTATCACGGCGGGTCTGTTTACTGGCGTTTGGAGAACTTGGCCGGGGCGAAGAGCATTCACAAGTATTCAACTTCAATAAAATATTAAGGAGTTAAGAAAAGCTTCACATCATCGAGGACAGGTCAGAGGGACTCACCTCCTGGCTGTAGTAGCAGAGGTTGAAGTGGTCAACGCAGGTCATGGTCCCCTCCCATGTGACCTTCATGGACACGCTGGTCACCTCCTGCAGGGTCACGGACGTCACGGAGCTAGGCGCTGCAAAGGTAAGCCACTGTTAATGTCATATAAGGAGGTACTGAACTAATTTAAACTCAATACACATACACACGGGAAAACAAGGAAAATTAATATGTACACTAAGGTACAAGAGGTGGAAGAAAACAATATAGGTGGCTCAGGATCCACTATTTCTGTCCTTTGAGAGGGCTCGGGTCCCTATAATACCCCGCCAGGGACGCTACAGCAACATGCTTGGTTCGTAGTCCTTGACCCCCCCCCCAAGCTTCTACCCTCCCTCGTTCCTTCCTTATACTTCCCTCATACCTATTTCGGCCGTGGCGGTGTTACTTTCAACGTACGGGCCGACTATGCCAGACACAGTGATGCCAGAGACCCAAATTGTGTAGTTGGTGCAGGGATCGAGATTTTCTATAATGACGGAGTTGTCACTCCCCGCCCTCTGGTGGTGGAGCCTCGCCGCCACCTCCACCGTGAGGGTGACGTCCGTCACAGTGTAGGAGACTGCATATCTGAGAAGCAGACACAGGTGGGTGACGGTACAAGGTCATTGAAGAAATAAAGGAAAGAATATATTGGAAGTACATATATTATAAAGAAACGCTGTAGATTTAGAGTGCAGATAAACAGATACAAGAGTTAAAAGAGAGTCAAGGAAAAAACGAGTAAAATAGAGTAAATAAGGAAGTGGTAATATTTGGTGATAAAGCACCAATGTGTCCTTTTTACACTACAACACGGTCAATAGACGCCGGATGTAAACTCGGCAGACGACAGAGTCTTGACGTCCTGCTTTGCCAAGCCAGCCAGAGCAGGCGTGGAGGATTTACCTGTCGATGCAGTGGGCGTTCTCGAGGGGATCGTCCCAGGTGACAGTGATGGAGTACGGCGTTGACAGCACCGTCTGTACGTTCCTCGGGGCTCCGGGTGCTGTGGAGAAAATAGACAGTGTTGCTTGTAGTGCTGATAATGGTGATCGTGGTGTTGACGATATTGGTAAAGCAACATAAGTTAAAAAGTCACAGGGAAGGACACAACATTAGAGTTGTAATAGTAATTACAGCGACACAATTTGTAGGTATTCTCAGACTAATGATCTGTCATTGATAAGTAAGGTGTGTTGAGTTATGTTCAAAAGCTTATGGTTAGGCAAAAGCTCTTCTCTTTTGTTAAATCCTGATAATAAAACAGACTGAACTGACAGTCCAGACAGACTAGTAAATTGACTGACCAAAGGATAAACTTCATAAATTGACTAACTAGTAAACTTTGACTAACCAGACTCCTGGGTGTTGACGGTGAAGAGAAGGGAGGAGCTCTGTAGACCTGATGGAGTGATGCTGGCCACGCTCACCTCGTACTCCACACACGCTTCCAGACCCCGCATCTCGTAGCTCGTGCTGCTCGTCCGCTCACACAGTACCCACACCCAGGTGTCTGTCGTCCTGTAGCACACCTGACGGAGAGAGGAAGGTAGTGAGGTCTAGCATGAAGGGACAAGGCTAAACCAATCCATTTATATCACATGATGAATCCACCTGATGCCCGAGGTCGCTCCCTGGCCTTATGGGTGCTGTTCTTGCAATAAACGCCCTTGGGAGTGAAGCTGTGGAAGTGTTCTATACGTTTGGCGGTGTTCGAAGGTGCCGACCGGCGGTAACATACCCTGGTCATTCATATAATCCCAGCCGGTCCACTTTTATCTCTAACTGGTGCGCTATGATCCCAATAGATCCCACTTAAGCTTTGCTCTCCGTTCCATGATTCCACTTGTACCTGACTCGGTGTACTTATACCCACCTGAAACTGGCTGATGCAACTGTTGTGTTGTACTTCCCAGGTTATATTGACGCCGTCAGTCGTGGAGTCCACCACAGCTCCGTTCACCGGGGTGCTGGGCTCTGTCAAGGACGATACGAGTTCATAATATATAACACAAAGTTTAAAAATCAAAATATCCTAACAGTGGAACTTTTCTGATTCATGTTGTTTTGGTTATGTGGGGGATTACAACACTTTATCTATATATTCTGAGTTTAGGATAAGCCTGTACAGATTTTGCAGTAGGTGGAAGAAAGATTTTCCTGGTGCTCTGAAAGTGATCACTTTATCTTTGTTTACCACAAGACAGTTGTACAGCCTGCAATCAATGACAAATGTTACTGCTCCTTTATAAAATAAGATCATGTATCTGCAACAGATACAACGGTTTTATTCTGCTGCATGCGTTTAAAAACCTGAGATACTTAAGTGAACAGGACGAACCACAGTGCTCTATAGAACCATGATATATAACACAACTAACGACTACTAAGGCATGTTCCTGGCAAGAGCGCTGGTTACCTTGGTCAGTGGTGGAGGCCTGGGTGGCAGCTGCCTCTCCGGCAACATAGGAACCCTCCACGGTAAAACTGGGTGTCACCTTGAAGGTATAGGGCGTGCAGGGCCGCAGGTCGGTGACGTTGTGAAGGCACTCACTCTGCAACATACAGTAGGGTGACTTGTCTCTCTCTCTGGTTGATATACACATGGTGTGTGTGTGTGTGTGTGTGTGTGTGTGTGTGTGTGTGTGTGTGTGTGTGTGTGTGTGTGTGTGTGTGTGTGTGTGTGTGTGTGTGTGTGTGTGTGTATGTGTATGTGTGTGTGTGTGTGTATGTGTGTGTGTGTATGTGTATGTGTATGTGTATGTGTATGTGTGTATGTGTGTATGTGTGTGTGTGTGTGTGTGTGTGTGTGTGTGTGTGTGTGTGTGTGTATGTGTGTGTGTGTGTGTATGTGTGTGTGTGTGTGTGTGTGTGTGTGTGTGTGTGTGTGTGTGTGTGTGTGTGTGTGTGTGTGTGTGTGTGTGTGTGTGTGTAAGTGTGTGTGTACAGGATGAGAGTGCTGTGGTGTGTCTTGTGTGTGTGTCTTGTGTGTGGAGGTGTGTGTGTGTGTGTGTGTGTGTGTGTGTGTGTGTGTGTGTGTGTGTGTGTGTGTAAGGGGTCTTATCAATTGCATGGTGGTAATTACCTTGATATCAAATGACTAATATATCTGAAATTTATTATATGCAGTTCTGTGGCAGGTTAAACCTTACATGATTTCATTACTGAAATTTCAATCCTGTCACCATAAGCCATAATAGCTAATTTAATTTTACCCATCCCATACAAACTCAAGTTTCGAGGATAGCAATCCTCATACTAGTAGAGTTTCGAAGACAACCTTCATATCCACCCCCCCCCACCTCCACGAGCTCAGTTTCAAGGACGACCATATCAGTTCCTTCTCGAACTAAGTATCAAGAACGACCTTCAGCACTGACCTGGCTGCAGCGGTCGTCCTCCGTGAAGTCGTCATCGATGAGGATGGTGTACTTGTGGACCTCGTACTTGGTGGGTGTGATGGTCCACTTGAGGGTCACCCACGTCTGCCCCGTCGACACCGCCTCCAGATCCAAGATCATCCCTTCCAGAGCAGAAATGAATTTGCAGCTATAATTACATTCACTGAGGAAGAGGAGGAGTCGAACCTTTCCGAAAGAATAAATAATTAACCTAGTTTGGAGTACATTTTTAAGTCATTCTGATATCAAACCGGGATTTAAGACACCCTTGAAAATTCAGATCTGAGGCACCTAGCACGAAATTTTTATTATAATATTTGAAAGGCCTAAGCAATGTGCCAGAATGCTCGTGTCCATCAAAGTGCCACTCACCCCCGAGAGTGCCCATATCGATGCTGCACTTGCCCACGTTGCCTGAAGAGTCGACGCCGATAAGGTCGACCTGAGTAGTGCAGCAGGAGGCCCCGTAGGTGAGCACCACCTCCCCGGTGGTGCCAGGAGTCATGCCCGCTATCTCAAGCGATAGTCCCTCGGGCCGGGCGTACACGTTTACCAGACCTGAGGGGGAGGCGGGGGAAGGGTCTTAGGTTGAGAGTGAGTGGAGGAGGGAGAGGGGTCTTAGACCGAGAGTGAGAGAGGAGGGAGACGGGGGTCTTAGGCCGAGAGTGAGGGGAGGAGGGAGAGGGGTCTTACACCGATAGTGAGGGGAGGGAGAGGGGTCTTAGACCGAGAGTGAGAGGAGGGAGAGGGGTCTTAGGCCGAGTGAGGGGAGGTGGGAGAGGGGTCTTAGACAGAGAGTAAGGGGAAGAAGGATGAAGGGAGTATATCTATCTGGTGTGGCGGAATATAACGATTCTGATATTAATTAAGTGGAAGAAAAGGGAGGGAGGAGGAAGATAATTATTCGGGAAAATGGGCTAAGCTATTAGGACGAATGGAAGGCTATTATATTTAGCTGTTTTCTACAGTGAATTACTTGGGAGGCAGGAAGAGAAGGCAGGAGGGGGAGGCAGGAGAGGGAGGCAAGAGGGGGAGGCAGGGAAGAATAACACCACCTACCGCCATACGGGTCATCCTGGAGAGTTGCCTGAGTGGTCCAGTTCTTATTAGCGCAAATACCGTTCAGGTCAAAGCCAGAGCAGTCAGGCTGGCTGGCCAAAGTGCAGTTAGGCGGAGTGTCGTCTAATTCCTGAAACAAAAACTCAGATCAGTAACGAAAACCAAAGAACATATATTAGCATTACCCTCTGTGAAAATCACTGTTGCTAACGTTAAAACAGTGTAATGACTGTTGCTAACAGGGAATTTGTGTGTTAATCTGAGTCCATTTAGAGATGCTATCATTTCATCAAAAATTTCTGAGCAGATTATCGGTGTAAACACGGCAGTGCTAAAGATGAGAGTGGTGAGTGGACGCACCATGGAGAGCACGACGAACTGAGAGATGCCACTGTTGACGGACTGCAGCTGTTGCTCGCTCTGGGCCGTCAGGGTGACCATGCTCACCGTCCCCGGCACCGCAGTCAGGGGCACCGCGAAGAACACCGTCACCACCTCAGAGGCGTTGTTGTCAATGTACACCCTGCGGCAGGAGATGCAGGCGTGGGTAAAGGGAGGTTCCCACCGGAAGAGTAAAGGCTATAGTTACTACAGAGGCTTGGGATCGCTCCATTGTTTCAAGGTTAGACATATATATATATATATGCACGAGTTATGGAAAATATAAATCTGCCTCATATGGGCTGATAGGTATTCTGCGGTTTTCTTTATTCTTATGTTCTTAGGAAGAAAGTCTGGTAAAACAGGCGGTGGAGAGGCAACAAGATCATAACATAAAATATTCTTACAATGATGTAAGGAAGAGGTTCTTCAGTGCATGTTAAGTAAGTGAAATGAGCTGAAAATGGGAAATGGCTGAGGCAAATTCCATAAGTTTCAGGAGTAAGTACAGTAGACTCGAGTCTCTGAAAGCCTATATTGTACAGATAAAAACCTCGTTTGGTTTGGTGTTGGGCTTAAGGGCTACTAGTCTCTACAGGGTTATTAAGCCCCATCAACCTCTGGAGGGGATACTAAGGCCTATACACCATTGGAGGAATATTAAAGCCTATCAACTTCTGGAGGGCTATTAAGGCCACCACAACAGCTTGCTGACCAAACAGCAAGTATATCATAATCCTGAACATAGTACAGGACTAAAATAAAATTACAAGTATATATACACCGAGAATTGGAACACACCTCTCGGTATATATACACACACATATGCATATGTGTGTGTGTATATATACACACACATATGAGTAAAGTGGGGCATACACACACATTTCAAACACACATGCCCGAAACGCTATGCACGTTAATGGCTTTACATGAATGTAAAAATGGCACTCATATGTATTCTCACCAACCCATTGTACCTTCTTCTAAATAAATAATAATTATTATTATACACACACAAGGCTGACCTCTCAGGTACGACGTAGGTGAGGAAGCCCTTATCGTCCGTTCCAGTGATGTCAAAGTAGGAGCTGAGGCCGTAGTTACTGACGACAAAGTCTCCGCTGGCTGTGTCCCCGGGGCGGGCAGCTAGGTCCTCCGAGGTGGCCAGGACCCCCACGTCAGTCTCGACAGGAGTCATGAGCACCGTCAGGAGGCGGCTGAACTCATTGCCTGACGAAGCAAGTGTAAACAAAACAAACTTGCAAGTTGCTCAATACAAATTGAGAGTTCAGGGTCCTAACCTTCCCACCCCCCCCCCAGGGTTTAGGACCCTAGGGGGTACAGCACCCCGTGGTGGAGTCAAGTTGGCACGTCACAGTACCAGAATACATCATCACAGTACCAGAATACATCATCACAGTACCAGTATTGTCAGAGGATCGTGTTTTGTGTTCTGAAAGTCGAGTGAGAGGTGTGCTTGCCTAGCAGTGATTTTGTAACAATTATTACCTAACACTGACTAGCTATCATTGCCTACCTAACAATAACTACTTAATAGTGACTACAGGGAGTGAGATCTAGCTCGTTATGCCCCGCCTACTAACCTTGTTGTAAACAACCGCGTTACAATTTAGCTTTCCTGACGTTCAGATTCCCAGGGAGTACATCTTATCATCAACATATAATGAAGCCACGTGCTAGGATTCTGATGCAGGATTTAGAAAACGATGGTAAACTACTCACCAGGTTTCAGTGTTGCTATGGTACACTACTCACCAGGATTCAGTGTTGCTATGGTACAATACTCACCAGGTTTCAGTGTTATTATGGTAGACTACTCACCAGGTTTCAGTGTTACTATGGTACACTATTCACCAGGTTTCAGTGTTACTATGGTACACTACTCACCAGGTTTCAGTGTTACTATGGTACACTATTCACCAGGTTTCAGTGTTACTATGGTACAATACTCACCAGGTTTCAGTGTTATTATGGTAGACTACTCACCAGGTTTCAGTGTTACTATGGTACACTATTCACCAGGTTTCAGTGTTACTATGGTACACTACTCACCAGGTTTCAGTGTTACTATGGTACACTATTCACCAGGTTTCAGTGTTACTATGGTACACTACTCACCAGGTTTCAGTGTTACTATGGTACACTATTCACCAGGTTTCAGTGTTACTATGGTACAATACTCACCAGGTTTCAGTGTTGCTACCTATACCCACGCTAAACAAAAAGTGATACTTTGCATTTTTTCAGGTGAAACTTGCCGACATGTTGTGAAGGAATAGGATTCAAGATAAGGCTTTAGAATGTAACCCATGTTGTTGAACGACCTTCCGGACCCGACGCTATGTTACTGCACGACCTACCGGACTTGACGTGACCGTACAGCTTGACGTAGAAGGGCTCCTCCGGCAGGGGGTCTGATCGCACGTAGAACTCATCGTCGACTTCGCCGTGGTACGGTATCTCCCGGAGACTCGCTCCCGACTGCACGTGTAAACAAACGGGAGAGAGTAAACACAATTGATATTACCATATATACGAAAATAATTGAAAACAAATTATGTTATGAGTTTCTTTTAAAAATTTGCTATTTTTTTTTTAATATGATACACCCCATCTTGGATATACCGAGTTTCATATTAATTAAATTTTGATATTGGTATCTGGACCTGAAATATAATTCACTTGTTATTATCTAATCTTCCGTTTTCTTTTATTATGATGAGAGAAAATGCAGTGTTAATAAGGTTTAAGACACGTAAGATAATTAAGATAACAGAAAATGTAGTTTCAAATATTTTTTTACGGTTTATTTTCTAATATGTAATAATGTCAAAAGCGCCAAATTCTTCTATTTGACAAATATTATGCATAATAGCAAGGTTTTTCTTCCTATTAGGAAATATTTGCCAAAAACATATTTTAGTTTTTTAATAGTTTTAGGAATTAAAATCGGACCTCAGGAATTACCGCTCATTGCCGTTAGTAGCAATGCGCTCCCACGTACCGTCATGTCAAATTAAACATATCACATCCTAAAGGTTAATATATCTTTAAGTGTGGAGTGTTTAAGTGTTTAAGGTTAAGTTATCTTTTAGTGAGGAGCTTCAGGCACCCCCTTGCCCCCCCCCTCCAGGCTTACCTTGTCCACATACTCAATTCGTGTGACATCGGTGACGTCACTCTCCAGGTAACCAATCAGCGTCACCTCCACGTAATACACAGTATCTGGGGGACAAGAATAATTGGCTCAGCATATAATATGAAGTGAGTTTAATAACATTATGCCAGTAAACCAGTGATAAGGAAATATGTACAATAATTCAGCCTGAGTGTGAAAGTCAGTCTGTGCTGCCTTATTATCGTGACGTCGAGAACTTAAATATAGCCGTTGACAGCGTTCTGTGAGATGTTAGACGTGTTGCTGGCCCGAGGTAGGGCCTGGGGACGTTGGTGAGTTAAGCAGCACCTGGGGGGACTCATTCGTGAGGCGAGCATGGTGATTAAGAGGACGTGGAGTGGGAATCAGTGAATAGTCGAGCAGGAACTGGGAATGTGTTGTGATTTACTGATGAATCACGAGGAAACTGAGGAGCAGGAGTGATTCACCGATGACTCGAGCTGGACTTGTGAAGAGTGACTCATTCAAGATTCGTCCAGCAAATTGGTAATTGCCTAATGAGTTTAGATGAACCTGGTGAGGGAGTGTCAATACGAGTCTCTAACAGGACCTGAGGAGGTGGAGGTGTAACTCACTGACGAGAGGGTTGCCCTCAGCGGCGCGGTAATGAGGGTGTGGCGGGGAAGGGTCAAGGATGGAGAACCCGCCCAGGAAGCTCAGCGTGGAGTTGCCGCTGACGGAGACGCTGTAGGTGGAACTCGAGTAGGTTTGGAGACTCCACAGGCCGTAGCGAGGCTCTATCCACTTTATGGCTTTAAGACCGCTGCTGTAGACCACGACCTCGATCTCGGGGTCCAACAGCAGGCTGGCTTCGTCCATTAGGTCGTACTCGGTGCCTGGTGAAACCGGCACAATGGCATAAGAAATTCCAATTAACACGCAACCATTTTCATCCAGCCTAGGCCTCAAGTCTCCCAGTAACGTAGCTTCTACGATGATACCTAGCTGCTGCTTCCACAAATCTCTAACCCTTTTCTGACCCACGTCAATGGTAATTCATATTTAAAATCAAGCTTCCCCAATTTAGTTCCATTATTTATGTGGTAGATTTTTAAGAATCCTATTTATATCCAATTTAATAAACTAATTCTTCAACTTCAAGAGTTCATATACAGTTTGCAAACATGAGATTAGAATTATGTCACGTAAGTCACGTTTGGTTACAAAGACAAGACAGTGTTTAATGATAACACTGTAATATCAATTACTAAGATACAATAACTTAGAACTTACACTATTAAAGGTCACAGATATAAATCTCAGTACCCAAATAATCTTTAGGGGAGATCCAGCAAGAAAATAAACATAACTGAAGGTTGTTCAGTAAATTATGAGCATCGCAAGACTCACTCCCACCAGCGTCACCACTAGGAACCCCTTTCCAACTCACCGGTGATATCCTTCAGCAGCGCCGTGGTAACAACGCCGGCGATGCGGATCTCGAAGTCACTGATGGAGTCATCAATGGGCACAGCGATATCCTGGCGCCCCACAAGTCCTTTCAGCTGGGTGACGTCCACCTAAAGAGAGGCAGGAGATGTCTGGTTAAGGCAGACGAGTTCTTCACCTTTCCCTCACCATCACAGTGTCAATCTTTCAGTGAGGGATCTGGAGCAACCAATTAACCAGCTCTCATATATTTTATTTACTGACCTGCAATTCCAAAACAGATGTGGTGTGTGTGTGTGTGTGTGTGTGTGTGTGTGTGTGTGTGTGTGTGTGTGTGTGTGTGTGTGTGTGTGTGTGTGTGTGTGTGTGTGTGTGTTTGTGTTGAGTGATTAATAATTACTCACACAATATACTGATAAGTGTATATGGACTTTAAAAAAGCTAGAGTCAGAGCCTACTTTAGTGGCACCAAGTAGCGGTCAACTCGTTCTTATTGATGCTTTGTATTGTTTATTTCAAAATACATAATACTGAAGGACAGTAGTTTCACAGAACAGACCTTAACTCATGTTCATCCATTTTTTAAAGTCTGGTATCAAAATTTATACGAATACAAATAACAAGGCTTCCCCAGAAGCTCTCGTGACAGGAACTAGGCTATTGTCTTCTGAATGTGGTCCTGAGACTAGTGTGTTTTGAACAGGTATGTGAAGCGCTCGTGTTCAGAATGCGGACTTGGAGGCTAGTATTCTGAACACAGCTCAGAAGCATGTGTTCTGAACACGTCCCAGAGGCTAACGTGCTCTGAACCTGGCCCTTGTGGTTCTCGTGTTCTGTATATGAAGCACCTGTGTTTATTTCTGTCGAGCACTGGCACACGGACAACCACACAAGCACTGGCACACTTACGTCAGAGCTCTCGACACCTTCACTGAGGATAGGCATGATGGTGTCGATGCTGAACTTGTCTGAGGGGATGAAGAGGCCTCCCGTAGCATCAGCGAGCCGGCGGTACTCCTCCACCTGCGTCAACACGTAGTCACGACTCGGGGTCTCGCTGGGGATGCTCCCACTGTAGATGATCGACACCTGGAGCCACAGTAGACTGGGTTAGTGTCTTCATAAGGAGGAGAAGGAGAGAAAAAGAAAAAGAGTACGAGAGAAATACAGGGAGAGAGATGGAGAGGGAAAGGACTCTCACCTTGTTGTGCTGTTGCTGGGATCTGGCAATATCACTCTCCATCTTCTCCCCGTCCTTGGCTCCGACGTCAGTGAAGCAAAAGATGTCGCCGTAGTCTGGTGTCAAGCTCAGAGCCAGCTGCCAGGGACACATCATTCTTCATTAACCGGTCACACTCACACCAAAGTTAACTTATATATAATAATATATATATATGCCAATTATAATAATATACAAGAAGGTAACAGAAAGGGAAGAAGCACATGGTGGTGGTGTACCTGAAGGCCAGACCAGAACATCTCCTCGATGTCCCCGCCGTTGTGGGCATAAAGGGCATTGACGGCTTCCAGGAATTCAGTAGCGTTGTCTGTCCTCAGTCCGGGTCCCCAGGCTGCGGGGTGGAGAGCAGGGTTGAGGTGGTCTACACACACACACTCGCAGGGGTTTAGTTTCATAATAAAATGAACAAAGCTCTGATATGAATATGGGACCAATTACGGTCTCATCTGAAACACCAACTGGCTTAGATTAGCAAAATAATTGATTTTATGCAGCGGGTATTAGTGTAAGCAAAGCCTATTTTATCAATCTTGCTGATGTGCCTCTCGGCACCTGACTGGCTTACTGGGGTCGTTGTAGGGAGCCAGGATGTAAAGCTCGGGGCTGGTGTTCTCCACGATACTCGCGACCTGGTCCTTGACAGCCTCGATGTCGTCCGACATGGAGCCCGTGGTGTCGATGACGATGGAGAGAGCAGACCCTTGGTACAGGTCGAACAGCCGTCGGTACTTCTCGTTCCCCACGGCGTCGAGCAGCACCCTCAGGTAGTGATCCGTCGCCTCACGTTGCAAGATTTTGATTATTACACTTTTTATGTGTGTGCTCATGACGTCATGCATCCATGTAACATGCACAAATTAATGCAATTTAATATGAATGTCTGAACATTCATATATTGATATAAACAATTTAGTAAGATAGTTATCTGGCTCAAAGTCTAGAGACTTTTTCTGTTTTCATTTATTCTCAATGGATTAGAATAATTCAATAATTTATACTTGAAATACTGATGTGAAGCAGAGGGTGGAGGAGAGGGTGGAGGCGTGTGTCTCACCTGGACAGCGAGCTCAGCTGCCTGCTGGTGTAGGTGGTGGTGGGGGGAGAAGCAGGGGGAAGCTGTGTCCTTGTTGATGCCTCCCTCAGCTGGCTGCCAGGAGCTGGAGTCCAACACACCGCCGTGGCTACACTTGCCGCCTGACAACACAAACAAACGATGCCTCTTTATTTTATATCATAAAAGAAAACAAGGGCAAATCGACTGAAAAACGTAAACTAAAAATATAAATAAATAAGAGAAAAAGGAATTAATGATATTCAAAATTGCACATAATAACAAGTTTGAAGGTGAAGGAAAGACCCAGTACACACAGAAATTACAATAGCGTGATGCATCACATGAACAAATCCACAAGGGCCGTGACGAGGATTCGAACCTACGTCCGAGAGCATCCCAGACGCTGCCTTAATCCACTGAGCTACGACACGGTCAAAAGAATTGCAAAGAATTGTTCATTTGATGCATCTATTGTGATTTCTGTGTGTAATGAAGTAAGGGTGAAGAGGTAGAACGGCCTATTGACATAGCTAGAGTGCATGGGGTAATTGTGTAAAATCCTAGTTTGTGTCTCGGAGAGGCTGCAGGATCCAAGTAAGTTCAGTAGAACTTCTGGTTGCAATTCTTTTGACCATGTCGTAGCTCAGTCGATTAAGGCAGCGTCTGGGATGCTCTTGGACGTAGGTTCGAATCCTCGTCACGGCCCTTGTGGATTTGTTCATTTAAAGACACAATATTTAACCCTTGGGTCTGTAAACAAATGTTTACAGACCCAAGGGGCCTGTAAACAATATTTACAGCTCCTTGAGAAAGGAGGTACGTTACATCACAAAATTTGGTGTTAATACACTCACACACATATTGGGTCTTTACATCACCTTCATTCAAACACTACGGTATTGTAGTCAGTTCCTCCACAACAAGTTTCTTATCCCATTTAATTATAATGCTGGTAATCGACTTGATCTACGCCTCTCCCTTTCCAGATGACTTTAATTGTTATTACTCGTGTACCTCCTCTCCAGTAATGTGAAGCTCAGTTCTCCCATCCTTTCGTTGCAGTTTAGTCTCCTCGGCGAGGGAACGAGTCTCCTAACATATTTATGATTTCTGTGTTATAGTTTACTTTAGATGTGAGTTCTACACGTGGTTGCACACTGAAGGATGGTCTGACGAAGGTTGTACTGCATTCTCGAGGCCTCTTTAGCTTCCTAAATTAAGACTTTCTGGATGTCTGTCATTTTCGCAAGCGTTGCTGATGTTAAGCTGCTAATGTGTTCACTTGTGTCACCTAGATATACAGTATATATTGATTCCTGGAGTTGTCGTACCTGTGGTGGGTATGTTGACATACCTGTGGTGGGTATGTTGACATACCTGTGGTGGGTATGTTGACATACCTGTGGTGGGTATGTTGACATACCTGTGGTGGGTATGTTGACATACCTGTGGTGGGGTATGTTGACATACCTGTGCTGGGTATGTTGACATACCTGTACTGGGTATGTTGACATACCTGTACTGGGTATGTTGACATACCTGTGGTGGGCTTGGGTATAAGATAGATGTCAGCCATTGGATCGTCGTACTGGTAATACCCGCTGCTCAGTCCTGCCCCACTCACCACGTTGCCGGAGCACTCTCCCTGCACACACAAACACGTTATTTGCTGAGGCATCCTCGGTGCTCATGTAGGCTGTCATGAGTGCTCAGTGAGGCAGCATTTACACACAATATTCCTCAAACCAGTCAAAACAAGACGGATCTTATGTTATATATGAATATTGTGAGATAGTTTCCAGGTCAAAATATAATGCATGTTAGAAATGGCCTGAAGACCGTACCTGGGAACTGGGACACGGTGTACACACAGCTTCTGTTGGGTCTGCTAGATCCTCGAACTCGAATCCAGGAAGACCAAGATCGGGCAGGATGGCCGTGTTACCTTGCTCGACCCAGGTGGAGTGTGCATAGAACTTCTGAATGGAATGGAAGGAGAGGCCCAGAAGGGAGCGGGCAGCAGTGTACGCCTCGTCCAGCAGAATGGAAGTCAGAATTTGCGGATACCTGTCCGTCAGCGACGCTTGCAGCTCTGTGAGCTCCTCCCCGTCCCCCTGGATGTCTGGGTCGTGTCTGCGGGTGGTGGAGTGTTCGTCAGAGTATCAACGGTTGAACACCAGTGGTGATTGCCAGGTACATATCACCGAAATCACAAGTAATTTGCAAACACCGTGATATTCGGGGCTATGATGGCGTTGCGCAGAGCTAATGCTAACTGAAGAGCTCCTGTTTCAAACTGAAAGCGATTAATTTTGTGGAATATTAAGAGACCTGGGCAGAGGAGCCAGTTATTAAAATCTGGACTATGGAACAAACCTAGACTATAAAATAGACCTCAACTACGGAACAAAGTACCTAAGTTGTACGGCGGAGTCTGCCTTTACGTTGGCTGCAGCTATAGAGTTGACAGCCTTGATGAAGCGAGCGGGAGAGGCGGAGGCGCCGTAGTAGGCGTGGTAGAGCTCTGTCAGCGTGACCGAAGGGGGGACGTTAAAGTCCGGCTGCGACTCCGGCGGGTACTGTAAGAAGAACTGGCGAAGGTTGCGACGGATAGCCTCCCGAGTGATCCACTTGTGGTCCCGGGTCAACTCAACCGTCTGGGGACATTGAGCCAGGTCAGGAATACAGTCGGGTGAGGCCAGGTCAAGTCTAACAGTCATATCCAGGGGCCGAAGAAGAGGAGGCCAGTTACTCGGATCATGTATCAGGGAGGGAGAGAGGGAGGGAGGAAGAGAGGGAGAGAGGAAGAGAGGGGGAGAGAGAAAACAGTAGGTATACAGAAGTTTGCAATCCTACGAGACACAGATGCATATTTCACTAAACTACTGGGATTGTAGTTTAGATACTAAATACTAAAATCTTGTTATATGTGTTTCATAGAGAATCATTGGAGCATCATTGAAGATGAGGCCTGACTTGCAGTGATTGGTAGGCCGAGGAGGAGGAGGATGACCTGTGGAGAAACTAACCTGATCAGGACACAGGATGTGGGCAACATCTGGGTCGGAGGTGTTGAGCGGGGTGGCGAGAAAGGCTGCAGTTCCCTGCAGCGCCGCCGCCAACACCACCACCTGCAGGCCGAAACCAGCCATCTCTTCGTCTTGGGTTGTCGCACTCTACCGCAGCTTGGGTTACAGCAAGATCTTAACTATGAGCCAAAGAACCAAAAATTGAAGAAATGCTGCAGATAAATCTCAATATCTGCCTTTAATGAACCTGAAATAATGCTAATGCAGCTATAGACGGAAACTTAAGAGAACTACTATCTTCTGCAATGGACCGAAGAGGAGTTACTTTGTTACTAATGAAACACTAGTCAGTGGTATTCACGTCCTCGAGCGTTCACGAAGATCTGGGAGAGGAGAGAGAGGCGGCGTGGAGCGGGCAGTCAGACTGACGCTTTTATACGCTTGGCGCGTCGTATGTCGCAAAAATCACATTAATTAGCTCTGCATGGGGGCGGGGGAGCCACGAGGGGCAGGTTGAACAGTGGCACATGTCACCTCCCAGCAGTCCATCGATAACAGCGGGACTTCCGTGTCCCCCTGACACTGTCGTCATGTAGGTCATCAGGTCAGCCAGTTCACCGGGGCCCCCACGTAAACGCATCCATGCTCACTGTCACGCACACCCGCTCCTAGACGGCTTGTTGTTGTCGTTTGTTTTTGAGAGAGAGAGAGAAAACCAGGCGCTTAACCTAGCTCAAAAGGCAGCCAGGAGACTTAACTGCTCTACAGCGCATGTCACACCTTAACAGCAAGGGCTGCAAAACCTTATATGAAGCACAAGTTCACTCTCATCTAGAGTATGCACCCCCTTTCCTGGATCGCCTGCCCCCCCATCTTTCGTCAGACTGTTGGAGAAAGTGGAGAGACGGGCAAGAAGGCTTATCTCTAGTCTTGACCAAGTCTGGCGGAAACGGTCTGAACATCACAGCATGCAACACCATCGTCACGGTGTTAGTCTTGCTGTTATGTACAAGACCAACATCCTCAAAGTTCCACACCCGGCTCAACTCCGTGGACGACCAGTAGTTGCCACCCGTAGCGCTAGGCTCTCAACCTTCAACAGTCTCCTGCTGGAAGTGCCTTTCTCAAGAACATCACTCCATCAGCGATCATTCACTCCTACGCTGACTCTCATCTGGAACTTATTCGCTCAACAGGTTAATACACGGGAGACCAGGTCAACTGATCACATGAAGGCTCTGGCACACAGTTGGATAAAGGCTCATCCTGTTCCTTATATGATTGTTACCTAATTTTGTTAATGAATAAAGGCTATTCCTACTGATGCATATAAGAGGCTCATGAAATAAACCGACCTCTAGGAGTAGGTTTCAACTTAGCTTTCCCAGGTTCCTTATTTGATAGTTCCCTATATGATAGTTTCAACGTACATTCTCATGAAATAAATGAGTGTGTAGGAGCAGGCTTCAGATGAGCTGAGGTAGGATAACAGCTCTTACTTGCAGTTTCACTAGGCACGTCATTTGTCATCCCTTATGAACCCCTAGTCTTTGTTTAAAAAAAAAAAAACGAGATATACCCTAGTGACCCTATTTAGAGGAAGTAATGCGCCGCAACACAGGTGGAGTGTTCTCAGCAGAACACTTGGGCAACATAGTGGTGGTGGGGGTAGTCACGCGACCATGACCTTGTATACCCACCCACTACTATTATTATGTTTAATCTGCGTCAGTTTATATCTCTTCACAGCTTAGATTAAACTCGATTTTACATCTCTGCAGATCAAATTAGTAACAAAATTCAATATCAAGAATATTGTGAACCTCATCATTTTTGGACGAAAAAATGTTTCCCAATGTTTGTTTACTGGAGATTTAAGTCAATTGTTTACCTCGGGAGACATTTTTATATGTATATTATTTTGGGGTGATATTTTTGTCATATGCACGAAAACACCGCGACGCGAACGCCAGTCACTAAGAAAGACTTCAAGCGAGTCTTTGTCATGGATACCTGAAGGTGACGAGGCGGATCCTCGAGTGTTTCCTCCCACTTTGTTGGTGGACACGGCTGTGTAGCAACACACGTCCACACTTTCACTTCAGGAATACGTAGAGTTATTCCGTGTGATGCTTGTGGTTCCTCAAAGATAGGTGTCAGGTCCAAAAGGAACCAGAGGCCAGGGGCCAGATTCACGAAGCAGTTACGCAAGTACTTACGAACGTGTACATCTTTCCTCAATCTTTGACGGCTTTGATTACATGCATTAAACAGTTTACAAGCATAAAAACTTCTCAATCAATTGTTATAAAGAACCTCCTGGTTCTTCAGAGCTCATTAACTATTTAATACTTGTAAACAAAGCCGCCAAAGATTGAGAAAAGATGTACAGGTTCGTAAGTGAGGATTCAAACTTGTGACTTAACCCCTCATGGCAGTCATCTGACCTCCAGCCGGGTCTCATGCTTCTTTCACCAGGGGCCAGATTCACTAAAGCACTTACGCAAGGACTTACGAGCGTGTACATCTTTTTTCCAATCTATGGCGGCTTTGTTTCCAATTATTAAACAGTTAATGAGCTCCGAAGCACCAGGAGGCTGTTTATACCAATAACAACAGTTGAATGGGAAGTTTTCATGCTTGTAAACTGTTTAATAAATGTAACCAAAGCCGTCAAAGATTGAGGAAAGATGTACACGTTCGTAAGTACTTGCGTAAGTGCATTCCTGAATCTGCTGGTTGATATGTGGGTTGTAGAACAAGCTCCTGCGGTATTTTCTTTCTTTAGTAATACAATATAATACTCGGTTACTGTTTTTTTTTTTACAAATGAATTGGTATATATCAGTGATGCTTTAGCTAAATGTATTCTTCATTGTACATTGGTATATCAATATTGTACTATTTTATATAATGTTAATTTATATCTTCTTAGATATCTTCATTGATATTTAATATTCTTAGATATTATTTAGCATACCTTAAGATTGTCCATATTTCTTTTTTGTGGGAACTGTATGTAACCTACTAGTGTAGGTTACATACAGGGGCTACTTCCTTAAGAACAGGGGCTACTGGAAGGGGCTACTTCTTAGAGTAGCCCCTTCAGGTGTCTGCTGGAACGCAGACCTTACTCCGAAGTTCTTAAAGATTTGTTGTACTGTCTGCAAGCTAAATACAAATATAATTATATTAATATGTTCTTAACGAGGATACAAAGAGGGTTCTAAAACGGTCCAAGCAGGATAAACCTTACAATAACGACTTCAAACTGGAGAAACTTAGTTTTAAATAGGATAGAGAGAAGTACTTGTTTGGAAACATGTTGTGGATGAGCGGAATGGTCTGCCAGCTTGTATTATTGAGACGAAGAGTTTAACAGGAGTCAAGAATAGATTAAATAGTTATACGGGTGAGAAATTGTGGACTTATGTGGTACTCGCCTAGAACGGGTCAAAATGACTGCTGTGGTTATCAGCTTCTTTATTGACAAAATGAATTTACAATTTTGCCTAATAGAAGTAATAACGTCTCATTGCAGTGAGGATAGTGTTCGTATTCACTGCCACACAGGACAGAGGATCATGACAAGACAATAGGTCCAAATTGTAGATTTTAAGGCATATATTTCATGAGGTTTCATTCTACTACGTGTGGCTCTATGGAACTTACACACGTTATATACGGTAAGAGTGAGGTATGTGTGTGTGTGTCCCCACGTGGTGGCGTGTCTTGCAGCCTGGCGGCAACACCATGTGGCGAGTCTGGCCTTATTCCCACCTTGGGTGAGGCAACTTCCTTCCAACGCTCACCTCTCTGGCGCGATGTCGTGCCCCTCCTCCACACAAGTGCACTGTGGGAGGAAGAGATTCAGTAGTTGTTGTTGATTTGGAAGCCACGACGGCACAAGTGCCAGATGTGTTACGAGATTCCCGTTTCGGGGAAAACGCAAAGCTTTGCGGCTATACCCTACCTGTCGGTGGGAAAAAGATGTCTACCCCTCTACCCACGCCTGGAGTCCCTCAGAGAGGTGAAAGCCGGACACCCGCACAGAAAATCAGCTGGAAGACTATCGACATGCAGTGACCCCAGATGACACAGGTATAAGGCATCTTGTGAACTCTGGGAAACCGAACAAAGTCATGATTTAACGGCAGAATCGCGATGACCGTTCTTAAAAACTTCAGTCGGACAAAACCGCAGCAACGTCTTCCGACGACCTCCTGCGGAGAAAATACGTGGCCCACTACGCCCCTTGGGTACACCTCCAGCCCACCAAGACCTGCAGACTGGCACCTCTCGACCAAGCCGGCGCCGGACACCGTCTACCTGGCCAAAGATCCAACCGAAAAATTGAAAAAATCAATGAAACTTTTGAGACCCTAGACGGTAAGCGTGTCAGGCGTCGAATCAATCCGGGCCGTTGAAGGGAGGGCCTGACGGCAGTATCCGGAACTAAATGGACAAAATCGCGGCCCCAGGAAGTGGTGCCCAGATGGCCACTCTTCGTCAACGATGTACCAGGAGCCTGCGAAGCACAGTACCAAGTAACGTTGCATAATTTAGTTATTTTATTTGTGACCGTCTATGTAAGATATGCGACTCTTGTCTCGTGTGGGTTAATCTCTGTTAGTGATGTGCCCAAGTAGAGAATTATTTAGGCCTACTAATATATAAGAATACTGTAGCACAGCGATCTGGCTCCACTTGCCGCCTCTTCATGCCCGTGTCACCTATAAGATAGTTTAATCTTTATCAATCATCATCTGCAGCCCTGCTCTCAGATTGGATTGGCGCGTCTACGGACCCCATCCCCAGTATCAGCTATTGATACAGATAATGGCTCCAAAGAGCTTCCACTTACGGGCTCACCATAGCCCGTGCGACTTGGAACTTTTTGTTCCGAGTAGCTGAATTTAAAACAACAACAAGAACGATCTGCGCAGTTTGGTGAACTGAATGGTTGAGTTCGATTCCTGCAAGAGGAGAGAGACGTTTAGTCACATCTGACGCCTCTGTTCACCTAGCAGTAAAGAGGTACTCAGGAGTAAGCTTACCTGTCATGGTTTGTATTCAGGGAAAGATCATTAGTTAGTCCGACACAGGGAACACTTTGATATCCCTGACCGGGCTAGATGCTTAGGCACGTGTCTTTACACGTGATGCCTGAGCTACCTGCCCGGGAGTTGGGTGACTTGTGGGTTGCATCCTGGGGAAGGCCAGTAACTAGATAGGGAAATAAGCATATCATTTGAAACCGGAAATGTCAAACATGTTTCAGTTCCAAGATAAAACTGGAAAAAATCTGTACGAATAATTTTGAGGACGTTTGACAAGCCACCGACGTCGTACCCTCGTGGCGAGGGTAGGAAGTATTCAAACACAGTACACTGAACTGTACTGGGGTTCCTGTACACCATGTACTGGTGATGGTGG